AACCCTTATTTCTTTCAACCTTGAAATTGAATTTTCTATATATATAATTAACAATTCTGCATTATACATGCGTACAAAAATCAAGTCAGTGTAGTTCAACAATTCAGTACATACAATGTGTGTTCTTTAAAGGGATTACTAATTTAAAGAAAAAACTGCATGTTAGATATCAATTTTTTTAAAATTTTTGTCCCAATGAAACTGAAAATATATTGTTGCTATGCACTTTTCTAATACAAATTATTGGTTGCTAGGCACAATTTCAATACAAATGAATGGTTACTGTGTACTTTTCTGCCACTATAAATGAATGAATGCTAAGGACTAGTGTGAAAACATTCAGCCCTGGCCTTTTAGGTAGGGTCTTTGTTATACATGTTATCGGTAAACTCCTGAATCAAAATATGTATGGTTGCTAGGTACTTTTGTGTTAAAAAAGGGTGGTTGTTAAGCACTTTTTGCATGACCTTGACTTCTTTCTGTTGACCTGTAAACAAAATAGAGGCGCTTTAATCATCCTGAACATTTTCATCATGTTTTGTTTGCTTCTTTCTATTATTGTCTTACAAAATCCAATAAATATACGCATGGTCAAAGGTTACGGTAATCAATGACCTTTGATCTTGGATCAAATTAAAGGTCATTTAATGCTCGATAGTTTTCCCATCATAGTCATTAAATAGTAGTTACAGTTTTCGGGATATCTAAATAACATGGTCGAATTTCTGAAGAATAAAACCAAAAATGACACATTTTGGTTTCCATAGCAACCATCCTAGCACCCATATTCCCACACATTTTTTGTAATTTATGGACTAAAAACAATAATACTTGACATTTATAGGCACAACATAAATGGATGCAAAACTATATTTTGTTCATGCAAAAAGTTTTTAATTTGCCATCACAAATACAATGAAAAATGACCCCTGTTTCTGTGGTTGTGACAATATTCAGCCAAAAAAAATATTTGACATTGCTGTTATGTTTGTGAAGTATTATGTTTCTGAAAATATTAACAAATGTCATTAAATAAAAATTGGTTTTGCTTCAGAATGCCTGCAAAGTAGTTGGTTTTTCAATGCTAAATTCACCAAAATGTACGGGAAAACTCATTGACTTGATTGCCATGGCAACAGTGGCCTAGCAACACTTTGGAAGGCAATTTCCTTACTTTTACACCTGATTATACGGTCAGGTTAAGTTTCAGGAAAATCGGTGACTATACCGCCAAGCCCCTATATGAAATGGTTGGTGGTTACAGAGAATTGCTTTTAATGACAAGATCTCAAGATGAGGCTATTTCAAACGTTTTTGCAATTTTGCTCTATATTCAAGAAGTTTGAAGCGTAAATGCAAATACTGAGAAAAATGCCAAAACAAACATAGAAAGTGCATGTTTTTGCCAGGTGAGTTGTTCATGCTTTTAGTTTTCAATTTTTATAACCTCACTTTAAGATAGCCCTTCAATGTGTCACTGTCAGATACTAGTACTTGTATCAAGTTCATGTTGGAATTGAGAGTTTGAAAAAAAACCAAGTATAACATTCATAAATGGTTTTATAGGAATAATGACAAAATTTCTAATATAATAATATCATATTAGATATGTCAAGAATGCCTTATGACTGTTCCTTTTACAGATTTTGTAGCACTATTGCATGTAACATTTATATATACAGTCTACAAATGTATTTAATAAATGGTTTTATCCCAGTTTTTATACATCTGTAGACATAAAAGTGCAAGCTATATAGTGAAAATAGAAGAAAGACAGTAATATTTCCCTTTTGGAATAACTTTAACAAAAGACAACATCATTTTATCTCTTCAAACAACAATAACAAATGTATATTACAGTGTTGTATTTCATCCATTCGTGCCGAATACAATAAGGTTTTAAGTTTATGGAATCACTATTCATGTTGGTTGTATTTAGTAAGGTATATAAAAAACTGTGGGCGTGTGGGTATAATCTGCTAGATCATCCTAAATAACATGAACAAGCAAACAACCAAAACAAAATCAACTTTTAAGGAAGACCAACAATCTCATGATAGTGTGTACTTTTCACTTGGTGTATTATAATATATTTTATTAATGATTTATTTATGATTTAAAAAAATATAAATAGAAGTCATTGATATATATATATATATTGTTGTTTGTGCTGTATTTAGACCACTCTAACATGTTTAACAAGAAATTTGTTTTGCATGCACACGTATAAAAATTGCAGTTTTTATCCAACGCAATCATAGGTTTGAACGTTGTTTTCAATATAGACTTGTATATATATATATATATATCTAGTTCAGTTGGTATATTACCGGTAAATATAAGTTGAACCTGGAAAGAGTTCAAAATGTTTAAAAGTTGCCTTGAAATTATCATTGATATTACTCAAACATTTGAAATAGCCTTAAATTGTTACAATAGTGGTTCAAGTAGTTGGATAGATATAAGAAGATGTGGTATGAGTGCCAATGAGACAATTCTCCATCCAAGTCACAATTTGTAAAAGTAAATCATTATAGGTCAAAGTACGGCCTTTAACACGGAGCCTAGGCTCACACCGAACAGCAAGCTATAAAGGGCCCCAAAAATGACTAGTGTAAAACCATTCAAACAGGAAAACCAATGGTCTAATCTTTTTAAAAACTGAGAAACGAGAAACACTTATCAACCACATCAACAAACCACTGAACATCAGGTTCCATAGATCATAAATGTTAATTTGCTTTAGGTTTGCAATCACATATGGACCTTTTCTGACTTTTATAATCAAAAGTGGCCCATTTGCCAATTTTTAATGGTCCTTTTAATATGTTGACCTCTAGATGTCTTTTGATTTTTTGTGTCATTGGATTGCTGTAGCATAGACCTATAACTGACATACCCTTTTATTCATAACAGTCACAAGAAAATTTACAAGCTTTCAAAATGGTTCTTTAATCCAGGGTTGTTGTCTTTATTTATACATGTATCTTGACGTTGTACTACTGGGGATTTGGTACTACATTGTACTGATGGTAGATCTTTTGTCATCTGTTAAATTTGATACATTGTACTTTTATCTACTTTGTCAATTTAGACATGTTAAAGCTTGACATTATATTGTCAAGACACATGGTTAGTGTTTAAGGTCATACATTGACTTCTGGTTGTCTCTTTATTTATTGTATTGTTGGGTTGCTATTTCATTGACACATGTACCCCACATCTCTATTTAGTCATATTTTTGACTTCAGATTTCCCTCTTTATATTATTTGTGAATCTGCCAAACAAATATGTAATCTCTTGTCGTATATGTAATCCTTCAGTCTGGACATTTAAATAACTGGATATTAGGAAGGGCCTAATAATTATATGATTAAATATTATCGCTATTTTACGAAATTTTCCTTTGATCTTACTGACTGATAATTTCCTTTCTCAGCACAGTAGAGTGATATGAAAAATTATCGCTAGAAGCTAAGGTAGCACGTGCCCGTTGTCAATGAAATTAACAACGTCGTCATAGGTAAAATTGTGATTAACAGATTATCATTGGTCATCTCAACTCAATTGCTTTTCTCACTTTCGCCGTTCTGGCTCAAGCGAGAAAATCAATCTCGTTGAGATGATCAACGATAATCTATAAATATATGTTATTACCCTGATGAACTTTGGAGAAACTATTGTAGTTTTTCCAAATAGAATGCATCAAATATAAGAACTTCCTGATATTACATCCATTCTCTTGATCAAAATGCCAAAGGCCTTTGATATATTTTCATAATTTGTAACATGCATGGTCTGTTTATAAAAAAAAGTTGTTTGACATAGCCTGGTTCAGGAGGAAGTAAAGGATCTAATCCACTATAGCATTGTTAATTTGTTGATTTTGTAGGTTATGTATATATATATATATAAGAAGAGACATTAATTGTCGAAATCCGGATATGGTGTACAAACACCTTTGCACCTTTTGTTTGCGGTATATCATCTTTTCCGCAAGTTTATTGTTTTCTGTTTAGTATTAAATTTACAATTAAGATCCATTTATTACATCGGTGATCCGTTTATTTGGCAATTGCTAATGGCAGTCAGCAGGGTTTAAGAACATTTGTTGTTCGACCTGTTAGTCAAATGCGTTTTGTTAAAGTCTTTTGGAAAATGTTGTTTGTGCTATATTTAGACCCCTCTAACAAGAAATTTGTTTTGCATGCACACGTATAAAAATTGTGGTTTTTATCCAACGCAATCATAGGCTTGTTTATATTTTTCGTTTGGGCTTGTATTATATTTGCCTTCGGGTTTATATATATGATCCGTTCATCCTATTTTGACTCCTTAAAATTCAAGAGTCTATCCTTAATTGAGGTAAATTGTATGGCTTTCCAAATACCGTTTCGAATCCTAACATCACTGAAGAGACATTAATTGTCGAAATCCGGATATGGTGTACAAAAACCTTTGCACCTTTTGTTTGCGGTATATCATCTTTTCCGCAAGTTTATTGTTTTCTGTTTAGTATTAAATTTACAATAAGATCCATTTATTACATCGGTGATCCGTTTATTTGGCAATCGCTAATGGCAGTCAGCAGGGTTTAAGAACATTTGTTGTTCGACCTGTTAGTTAAATGCGTTTTGTTAAAATATACTTTTTCACTTTTTTGGTCTTTTGGAAAATGTTGTTTGTGCTGTATTTAGACCCCTCTAACAAGAAATTTGTTTTGCATGCACACGTATAAAAATTGCAGTTTTTATCCAACGCAATCAAAGGTTTGAACGTTGTTTTCAATTTAGGCTTGTTTATATATATATATATATATTTAAAATTATATACATTTTAACTTTCTGGTCTTGAAAGAAAACAATAATTGTTAAAAACAAATGACCAGATTCAGTCCTGTAGGCCATACAGAATGCTTACAAAACTAAAGAGAAATAGAAAAAAATACATGTATTATAACATTGAATTTATTTATTTTCAAATAAAATTTTAATTTCAGAGAGTATATTACTTATCTTTGGAGTTCTACATGGGACGTACACTAGCCAACACTATGGTTAATCTTGGAATACAATCCTCATGTGATGAAGCATTATATCAGGTATGTCGATAGGTTCAGTTAGAATCATGTGATTTAACGTGACATCAGGTATATAGATTGATACAGTTATGGTAGTAATTGTCAGATTCTATTGGAGATAACAGAGTTAAAAGTTGGTTGGAAAAATACAAGCCAAAAATCTAGATAAAGAAGTGTATCCAGTAAAATGCTGTGAACCACTAGGAAGCCAACAATCTACATGCATATATATGAAATGAAGCATTACAACAGGTATACACAGTAAGGGGGACAGCTCAAGAAGTCAGTGGAATTTTTTGTTGTATTTTGCCATTTGATTATGTCTAAAATTAGATCAAAAATGTTTAGTACCTAAATTTTAATCATTTTGACTTTTTATTAATTTTTTTAAAAGTAAGTAAATCCTTAATTCAACACAAACAAATTAGAACAAATTCTACCTTCTCTTACCATTTTTTTTTTAGTATGTTAAGTAACGCCTAACATGCATTACATGTAGAGCACTTGTAAGTAATCATTCTCTAGGTCAGGTTTGAGTGCGAACTTATTTTTTGTACCAAGGTCCATTATCACCACACTAAGATGCAACCGAAAGCATGATATCATGATTCTGAAAACTATTTTGTACAGGAAAAAAAAACAGTTTTTTATGATGTCATTAATTACCCCTCTTTATTTTTTAAAAGAACTGTTAGGACCCAATGTGCTCATTAGTTGAATATCTATACTTCTGAATTCATTGAAATAACTTTGTTAAACAAGCAAAGGGAGAAACTCATTGCTAACTGGCAAGGGAAATAACTTGATGATTATTGTGTTTTATAGCTAGGACTAGATATAGAAGAATTAGAGGAGATAGAAGAGGATGCTGGTCTGGGTAATGGAGGACTTGGTCGTCTGGCTGCATGTTTCCTTGATTCCATGGCAACACTTGGGCTGGCTGCGTATGGTTATGGTATACGATATGATTATGGTATATTTGCACAGAAAATAGAAAATGGTTGGCAGGTAAGTCTATTTTTTCAGTCAGTTTAAAAGTTCATTTTGTTTGAATATGAGGGGAAAGTTGTTTCTGAAGTAAGAAATAACATCACTATGACAAAATTTTAATAGTAAACTGTAGTCATCTAACAAATATTAATGATAGAGAAAGAATTCCAATAAAACAAAAGCATGAATTTAATTTGTCTTAATTGGAATATATAAGGCAGTTAAAATTACATGAAGGTCAAATAGTTAAGCTTTTGTGGATATTTTCTTGTCATTGACATAACTCTTTTTATTTTTTGAAATAGGCTTTTGATATTTGGCAATTTTGCATCCTTCACCTGAAATCAATGTAAAGCATGCCATTGTAGACAACATTTAGGGTTGACTTTTGACCTCAAGTTCAAGTAACTTTAAAAAATATTGTTTTAACTTTTTAGCATCCAACTCCAAAGCATATATATTCTTAATTGCGATGATCAGAACTTTCCAGTGCATCATAAGTTTTGTCGCTTTGAGTCATGCACTGCCCTTACATATATATATCATGAATTATTTAGATATCTCTATAACTTGTCAGATTTCCACCCTTAAATAGAATAGAAAAACATAGGACATGGGGTATCCATCCATGACACAAAATCAGTACATGCACAGCAAAAAACACATAAAAAGCAAAAAAAAAAGGGAATTGCGTTTAGTATTTCTGACGAACAAGCAGTATTTCTTTTATTATCATTCTGATCTTGTCACATTTTTCACATATAATAATTTCCTAATTTGATATAAATTGTGAATCAGTCAAGCATTTTCTAAAGCTACCTCTTATGTTAACTTTATTTCTTCAAAGATTTGGGAATAATGAATTATTCATTATACATTTTAAAACCCAAAATATTATTTTCAGTATAGATTCAATTCTATACATATTAATTTTCTAACTTCAATGAGATAAACTCTCGAGTAGAATTTCACATTTTAAAAAAAGCAAAAAAGCAAAATTTTCTGAAGGCCAGAAAAACTTCCTGGCAGCTGATTGTTTATATGATATTTAAAGGTATTTACTTAGAATTAAAGCTGACATTTAAAATTATAGTCAGGTAAAATAAGAAAAGCAAACAATAGATTAAATATTTATTTTTGAATTATACTCGTGATATGATGTCAAATTTCAAATAAATATTAATCACTCAGGAAATTTATTGTTTCATTTTGCCTTTGTAGCAAAAAATGATTAGAACTTGTCCATGATAGCATTTTATTTCAGAATATACTTTTTCTAATTTAGAAGGGATGTAAAAGTGTTGACTGAAGCACATTGCATACAAAGCACAGTGTGTCACATATCATCATAATCTCTATGTGACCTCAAGGTCTAAAGACTTGATTTTTGTGACTGGAAAGTAACTTTTTTTTCTCCTATGACATAAGCTTATGATATTTGGCATATGGATGTAGCACCTCAGGACGATTTGTTGTGTATCATGGAATAGGACCTTGACCTTTGACCTTGAAGGTCAACTAATTATTTTTTAGCTCACCTGGGCCCGATGGGCCCCATGTGAGCTAATGCCATCACTTGGCGTCCGTCCGTCGTCCGTCGTCTGTCGTCGTCGTTGTCGTCGTCGTCTGTCGTGGTAAACTATTTCAAAAATCTTCTCCTCTGAAACTAGTGGGCCAAATACTTTCAAACTTTAACTAAATGTTCCTTAGGGTATCTTGTTTATAAATTGTATCCGAAGTTTTGATCCATCGACTAACATGGCCGCCGTGGCTAAAAATAGAACATAGGGGTCAAATGCAGTTTTTTGCTTATATCTCAAAAACTAAAGCTTTTAGAGCAAATCTGACAGGGGTAAAATTGTTCAATTGGTCAAGATCTATCAGCCCTGAAATTTTCAGATGAATCGAACAACTCTTTGTTGGGTTGCTGCCACTAAATTGGTAGTTTTAAGGAAATTTTGCAGTTTATTGTTATTATCTTGAATATTATTATAGATAGATATAAACTGTAAACAGCAATAATGTTCAGCAAAGTAAGATCTACAAAAAAGTTTTTATGACCAAAATTGTCAATCGACCCCTTAAGGAGTTATTGCCCTTTAAAGACAATTTTACACAATTTGTTCATCAAGTTTGCTAACATTTAAAAATCTTCTCCTCTGAAACTACTGGGCCAAATACCTTCAAACTTCATCTAAATGTTCCTTAGGATATCTAGTTTATAAATTGTATTTGAAGTTTTAATCCATCGACAAACATGGCTGCCATGGCTAAAAATAGAACATAGGGGTAAAATGCAGTTTTTGTCGAGCCTGCGACTTTTGTCGCAGAAAGCTCGACATAGGGATAGTGATCCGGCAGCAGCGGCGGCGGCGGCGTTAGCTAACTTCTTAAAAGCTTTATATTTTAGAAGGTGGAAGGTCTGGATGCTTCATACTTTGTATATGGATGCCTCATGTTACGAAGTTTCCGTCAGTCACATGTCCAATGTCCTTGACCTCATTTTCATGGTTCAGTGACTACTTGAAAAAAAAGTTAAGATTTTTTGTAATGTTAGATTCTCTCTTATTATAAGTAATAGGATAACTATATTTGGTATGTGCGTACCTTGCAAGGTCCTCATGCCCGTCAGACAGTTTTCACTTGACCTCGACCTCATTTCATGGATCAGTGAACAAGGTTAAGTTTTGGTGGTCAAGTCCATATCTCAGATACTATAAGCAATAGGTCTAGTATATTCGGTGTATGGAAGGACTGTAAGGTGTACATGTCCAACTGGCAGGTGTCATCTGACCTTGACCTCATTTTCATGGTTCAGTGGTTATAGTTAAGTTTTTGTGTTTTGGTCTGTTTTTCTTAAACTATAAGCAATTGGTCAACTATATTTGTTGTATGGAAGAATTGTTAGCTGTACATGCCTGCCTAGCATGGTTCATCTGACCTTGACCTCATTTTCATGGTTCATTGGTCAATGTTAAGGTTACTTGGTTAATATTAAGTTTATGTGACAGTTGTAATAAAGCTTTATATTTAGGACTATCAACATAATATAAATGATTAGTAAAGAAGGCGAGACATTTCAGCGTGTGCACTCTTGTTGGCTTATATGTCCAAAACTAAAGCTTTTAGAGCAAATCTGACATGGGTTAAATTGTTCAATTGGTCAAGATCTATCAGCCCTGATATTTTCAGACAAATCGAACAACCCATTGTTGGGTTGCTGCCACTAAATTGTTAGTTTTGAGGAAATTTTGCAGTTTTTATACGACCGCAAAAATTTTTTGCGGTCGTATATTGGTATGACGTTGGCGTCGTCGTCGTCGTCCGGCATCGTCGTCCGAAGGCACATTGGTTTTCGCACTCTAACTTTAGTTTAAGTGAATGGATCTCTTTGAAATTTTACCATAAGGTTCAATACCACAAAAGGAAGGTGGGGATTGATTTTGGGGGTTATGGTACCAACAGTTAAGGAATTAGGGGCCAAAAAAGGGGCAAAAATAAGCATTTTCTAGTTTCCAGACAATAACTGTGGAACGGTGTATGGATCTCTCTGAAATTATACTACAAGTTTCCATACCACAAAGGGATGGTTAGGATTTGCTTTGGGGGGGTTATGGCTCAAACCGTTTATGAATTAGGGGCATAAAAGGGGGAAAAACAAGGTTGTCCTGGTTAATGGACAAATACTTTAGTACAAAACATAATTTCAAGCAGTGTAAGGGAGATAAATCAAATACATCATTGAAATTATCTCCCTTACACTGCTTTTAAATTATGTATAAAGTAATGGTTAATGAACAATTAAGATAATTTAAAACAGTGTAAGGGAGGTAATCCAAATACAACGTTTTGGTTACTTCCCTTACACTGCTTTTAAATTATGTTTAAAGAAATGCATATTTATAAAGGAAGACCAGTAAAAATATCTGCAAATGTTGCATCTTTTTTTTTTACAAAAATATCCATATGAAAGATTTGACACTATATTTTAAATTCTATTATAAAATTGATTAAGTTAGCACTATGGTAAATTTAAATGGGTAATTATGATTGCAAACTCCATTGGAAATTTGAATTGAGATTATGACCATATCTTGAGGGAAAGAATTTTTGGGGGGAAAAAAAGGGGGGGGGGTAAAAAGAAATTGTGGGGGGTCAATTTTTTCTCATTTCAGATTTCAGAAATTAAAAAGAATTATTCTTCAAATATTATTTTTTTTTCAAATTTCAAATATTGAAAAATTTCAAGAAGTAATCTTTAATTGCACAGTATGGCGCATTAGATTTGTAAAATCTTTGACCACATTTATTTATTTGTTATGCCGAATCTAACCGTGTATTTAGATTTTTTAATTTTGGGTCCAGTTTTCAAATTGGTCTACATTAAGGTCCAAAGGGTCCAAAATTAAACTTTGTTTGATTTTAACAAAAATTGAATATATGGGGTTCTTTGATATGCTGAATCTAAACATGTATTTAGATTTTTGATTTTTGGCCCAGTTTTCAAGTTGGTCCAAATTGGGGTCCAAAATTAAACTTTGTTTGATTTCAACAAAAATTGAATATATGGGGTTCTTTGATATGCTGAATCTAACCATGTATTTAGATTTTTTATTTGTGGACCCCGCTATCAAATTGGTTCATATTGAGGTCAAAAGGGTCCAAAATTAAACTTTGTTTGATTTCATCAAAAATTGAATTATTGGGGTTCTTTGATATGCCAAATCTAACCGTGTATTTAGATTTTTAATTTTGGGTCCTGTTTTTTAAATTTGTCTACATTAAGGTCCAAAGGGTCCAAAATTAAACTTAGTTTGATTTTAACAAAAATTGAATTCTTGGGGTTCTTTGATATACTGAATCTAAACATGTGTTTAGATTTTTGATTATGGGCCCAGTTTTCAAGTTGGTCCAAGTTGGGGTCCAAAATTAAACTTTGTTTGATTTCAACAAAAATTGAATATATGGGGTTCTTTGATATGCTGAATCTAAACATGTATTTAGATTTTAGATTTTTGGCCCAGTTTTCAAGTTGGTCCAAATTGGGGTCCAAAATTAAACTTTGTTTGATTTCAACAAAAATTGAATATATGGGGTTCTTTGATATGCTGAATCTAACCATGTATTTAGATTTTTTATTTGTGGGCCCGCTATCAAATTGGTTCATATTGAGGTCAAAAGGGTCCAAAATTAAACTTTGTTTGATTTCATCAAAAATTGAATTATTGGGGTTCTTTGATATGCCAAATCTAACCGTGTTTTTAGATTTTTAATTTTGGGTCCCATTTTTTAAATTGGTCTACATTCAGGTCCAAAGGGTCCAAAATTAAACTTAGTTTGATTTTAACAAAAATTGAATTCTTGGGGTTCTTTGATATGCTGAATCTAAACATGTGTTTAGATTTTTTATTATGGGCCCAGTTTTCAAGTTTGTCCAAGTTGGGGTCCAAAATTAAACTTTGTTTGATTTCAACAAAAATTGAATATATGGGGTTTTTTGATATGCTGAATCTAACCATGTATTTTGATTTTGGACATTGGACCATAATAGGTAAATTAAAAAAATTCAAGTTCTTAGACCACATTCTTTCTGTGTCAGAAACCTATGCTGTGTCAAATATTTAATCACAATCCAAATTCAGAGCTGTATCAAGCTTGAATGTTGTGTCCATACTTGCCCCAACTGTTCAGGGTTCGACCTCTGCGGTCGTATCAAGCTGCGCCCAGCGAAGCATTTTATTTGTTGTTATCTTGAATATTATTATAGATAGATATAAACTGTAAACAGCAATAATGTTCAGCAAAGTAAGATCTACAGAAAAGTTAAATGACCAAATTTGTCAATTGACCCCTTAAGGAGTTATTGCCCTTTAAAGACAATTTTACGAAATGTGTTCATCAAGTTTGCTAACATTTAAAAATCTTCTCTTCTGAAACTATTGTGCCTAATACTTCTTAACTTTGAATGAATGTTCCTTTAGGAATCTAGTTTATGAATTGTATCCGAAATTTTGATCCATCAACAAACATGGCCGCCATGGCTAAAAATAGAACATAGTGGTGTAATGCAGTTTTTGGCTTATATCTCAGAAACTAAAGCATTTAGAGCAAATCTCACAAGGAATTACAATGTTCAAAAGGTCAAGATCTATCAGCCATAAATTTTCAGACACACCGAACAACCTATTGTTGGGTTGCTGCCACTAAATTGGTTATTTTAAGGAAATTTTGCAGTTTTTGGTTATTATATTGAAGATAAAGATAAACTGTTAACAGCAAAAATGTTCAGCAAAGTAAGATCTTCAAAAAAGTTTAATATGACCAAAATTGTCAATTGACCCCTTAAGGAGTTATTGCCCTTTAAGGACAATTTTACACAAGTTGTTTTATGTTTTTTAACTTTAAAAATCTTCTCAAATGAATCTAGTATAAATTTTGTATTTCATTTCCTTGTACGTCAAGAAACATAGACACTATGGCTAAAATTGAACATATGGGTAAAAAGCAAAAATAATCATTGATGAAAGATTTAAGCAAAAAAAATAACAGGTGAGCGATTCCGGCTCTTGAGAGCCTCTTGTTTTATTTTATTTTTTTATTACTGTTCCAGATATATTCTTGCTTGCCACTTCAAAACTTTTTCAATACAACTGAGGATTTACCCACGATTTCTAGAAATAAGGGGGATACATTAGTTTTAGTTCACTTAAACAGTTCTACCTCTTTGCCTTTTTCAGTACATAAGTGTTGAATATATGTTTTACTGTTTGAAATAGGCAAAAAGGTAAGAAATTATTTTGACAGCTGACAGTTGATGAATTTTATTCCAATTTTTAATTGTCAAAATTAGCCTGTGTAACCATGTTCAAACCCATACATGCTGGTATTTTTTATATCAGGTAGAAGAACCAGATGAATGGTTGAGGTATGGAAATCCATGGGAGAAAGCTAGACCAGAATATGTACTTCCTATCAACTTCTATGGTAGAGTCGAGGAGACTGGTGGAAAGAAAAGATGGGTTGATACTCAGGTAATATTGTAAAAAAAAATTATTATATATATTTTTTTTTCTATAAGAAAAAAAACCGGACCATTGTAATTACAATTTGCTAGATGACAAAAATTCTCTGCCATGCCTTCCTGCAACATTGTAAGATGTATATATTTCATATGAGAATTTGGACCTGTATTAAAAGCCCTATTTCTACTTCAACTTCACATGTTGGTACCAGAATTTTTAGTTTGGTTGGGTTCTTAAAAGCATGTCACAAAAAGGCAAAGGGTTGTGTGACCTAAAAAATCTCACAAAAATCATTTCTAGCAGACAGTGGAGACTAGAAGAAAGCTAGGTTTAAATCTGGGTATGAAGCAGTGAGTGAATAAATATGAAATGTATTACAAGTGAAGGAGGAGATAAAACAGGAATTATACTTCCCAATAACTAAAATCGATATTTATTTTTTATATTCAAAATTGCACACTTAAGAGGAAGACTAATATGCCAATATTTGTGTACCAGGAAGCTGTGTACAGTGGAGTTATGTTATCCAGCTACTTAACTTATGATATAAATGAAGGAGAACTATATATATAATAAAATAAAATTTGTTGATTTTTAACCTCCTTGTTTCCTCCTTTTATATAGGATAGCTTTGTTAATGAATAAGAAAATAGAGGTGAAAAATAATTAAAGTAGTTATGACATTTACAGTGTTTCAACTTTTGCTGAGCTTGCAACATTTATGTCAAGAAAGTAAGACATAGCGATCGTGTTCATGTCGGCGGCTTCAACATGTAGATTCAGTCTGTGTTTAATATCTTTTTTTAGACATTTTAACTTTGTCAAACCTTCATGGAATACAGAACCTTTATTATGACCAAAAGATAGTGTCCAGAGCAAAATTTTAAAAATATCTTTTTCAGGTTTCCATCTTTTACTGATAAATGGACTAAGTTATTTTGCAATTAACATTGAGATATAGTTTAAAGTTAAATATTTTCAGTCATCAAAAACTTTGTCAAACCTTCATGAAATTTTACGTGAATTGGACACAAGCTTTTTTATGATCATAAGACAGTAAGTATCCAAAGCAAAATTATGAAAACATTTTTTTCATTTTCCCATACTTAACTGACAACAAACAGGACTTTTGCGGTTAAAATTTTGATACAGTCTGGTGTTAAAGTGTGTTAGACATGCTTAGAATTGCCAAAACAATGATACATAATTATATGTACAAAAATTGAGGGAAAAAACATAAAGTCTTACATATGTCATATTAATTTTAAAATTGATTACAGGTTGTATTTGCTATGCCATATGACAGTCCTATACCTGGGTATGGTAACAACACTGTCAACACCATGAGATTATGGTCAGCCAAAGCATCCAGCAACTTTGATCTCAAATTCTGTATGTATTCATTTACCTTTTACCAAAATTGGTTTTAGTCATCGTCAACAAAGGCCTGTTCAGCATCATCTTAGCAGAAATAGTATGGGCAAGGGTGGGGGATGGTGCTGCAGTGGGGCTTGTCATGAAGCAGTTTTTACGATTCTGTATGCCTGAAAGTTTTATGCTGTTAAAATATTATGTTTGATCAGCAGTTATGCTTCATCATCAACTAGGTAAACAATCATAAAGTAAAGTAAATTTTATCTAAGTGACAGGGCGAGGCTCTACTTGGCAAGAACCACTTTCTTGTCGGTATGTTTGATAAGTTCAAAACTCATAATAAAGTTACTTCTTAAAAAAAGTTTTATAAATCTTTCGAAAGATAATACATTGAATACAATCAGCATACAGTAATCTAGAGATGAAATACATTATAACTTCCAATTGATTTTTAATCACATCTTTTGGTCTCTGTAGAATAAGTTCTACCTGCTGTGAAACCCTAAATTGCTAGCACACATCTATAATTATAATTATTATGGATTTTATTAACCCCTTGTGTATCTGAGAAATACAATTTTTACTCTAATATTAAAAACCATCATCAGATTTAAACCTGTTAAAATCATTGTTAAATGATTATTGATTAAACAAAGACGGAGCAGTCATAATGACCCAAGACCAGAAAGCTGATCTGTAAACCAGTTTGTTACAAGAACAGAGAACCAGGTGATATTTAGAAGGCAATCAAATTAGAATATGAGCTGACCAATGTTTTAATTGTATTTCTTTTTAATTTCTACTTATATTAAAGTTCTCCTGCTATGTCTGATAGCTTTATTCTTGTACCATCCTGTTTCTTATTTCAGTCAACAATGGAGAGTATATCCAGGCTGTATGTGATAGAAATGAAGCAGAAAACATATCTAGAGTATTGTACCCTAATGATAATGTAAGTTTGCTTTCCTTTGTGTTATTTTTATGATTAGGTCTGCCATTTAAAATGTTTTTTTCTCCGTTTTACTATCACCAATTCAGTCATGTAATATATTATTTCGTCCAAAAGAAGTTTTTATGCCCGCTTCAGGTTAAAGTTTTTGGTCAAGGTAGTTTTTGATGAAGTTGAAGTCCAATCAACTTGAAACTTAGTACACATGTTCCCTATGAAATGATCTTTCTAATTTTAATGCCAAATTAGAGTTTTGACCCCAATTTCAAGGTCCACTGAACATAGAAAATGATAGTGTGAGTGGGGCATCCGTGTTCTATGGACACATTCTTGTTAGATACCTAATTGTTGTTTTTGTTTTAACCCTGCTTTGAGTTTTCTGTAATTGGAATTGTAAAAAAAAATTGTGGTCCTTTGCTCCATCAAATTTGTTTCATATTCCAAATTTACAAAAATTTTAAATTACATATCTTTTTTTGGTGATAAATATGTATGTTGCAATACTTTTCTGTAAAATTTTGTCACTATAAAATACATTGCACATTTTGGCAAATTTGGTTTAAGTTTTGGGTTTATTTGTATTAATCATTGATGTTTTACCACTCCAGTCGTCTTAGTTGGTAGAACAAGCTATGATATTTGGATTACTTTGACCAATATTTCTTGCTTGAATGTCTTTGGTTAAAATGTAAAATACATCACCAGAAACCCTTTGTGTCATATCAATGATACTTCTTAACCATGTTGGTCAGAAAATTTCATATCTCAGATACAAAACCATTATAAGAATAAGGAGATGTGGCATGACTGCAAATGAGACAACTATCAACCTGAGTTCAAATGAAGTGGCTATAAAGCAACCCTATGGCCTTCAACAATTGAGTAAAACCTAGACAGTATAGTCGGCTATAAAAAGCCCCGACATGAAAAATGCGTTGTTTATCAATTTTTGATAGCTTCTATTTTCATATATATTACAAAACAGTTCCAAGTTTACATCATATGATATACATTTCCTGCTTCAACAAACTTTATTATGGTTTACATTAAGGTTCACATGATGCACATCCTTTTGATATTTCAGATATATACCACCACACTCTTATTATTGTAAAATACAGTTCTTGAAGCCCTATAGTTCATGCTCGGTCAGTTAGTCCTAAATTTTGCATTTAAAAAGTAAATGGTGGCTTCTTGTTAAGATTGGTCATCCTTGTTTTAAAGACTCATAATCTAATTTCAGTAATCTTTAAGTACTGTAAATTCAGAAATTATTGCATGCATTTATTATTGCGATTTCAGATATCAGTTATCAGATTGTGAGTTCTTATTATTGCGATAATCATTAAGTTGCATTATTCGCATGAATAAAAACTTCACATTATTTTCCAAATTTACAGTATTTATTTTTGCCTGTCTAAATTTTAAGTGTATGCATTTAGCATTTGAATCGAAAATTGAAAACTTTGAAATTTTAAAATATTCTTTATTTTTCAGTTCTTTGAAGGAAAGGAGTTGAGATTGAAGCAGGAATATTTCCTTGTTGCTGCTACTCTACAGGACATCATACGTAGATTTAAGTCTTCCAGATTTGGTAGCAGAGATCCTATCAGAACTTCATTTGACTCCTTCCCTGATAAGGTACATTATGTTGTCAGAGTGAATAATACATTTACAGTCATTTCATTAAGCAGTTATGTTTTTATATGACCGCAAAAAAATTTGCGGTCGTATATTGGTATCACGTTGTGGTCGTCAGGGGGGGGGGGGGGGGGTCAATTTGCAACAGCATAGTGTATTGCACAAAAGCAAAAAAAAAGGGGGGTACATTTTTTTTTGGTGGGGGGTCAATTCGCAACAGCATAGTGTATTGCACAAAAGCAAAAAGCAAAAAATTGAATATAAATTCAAATCATATAACCAATATTAAGTTCTTTGACTACAGTTGTTCTGTGTCAGAAACCTATTATGTGTCAAATATTTAATTACAATCCAAATTCAGACCTGTATCAAGCGCGAATATTGTGTCCATTTTTGCCCCAACTGTTCAGGGTTGGACCTCTGCGGTCGTATCCAGCTGCGCTCGGCGAAGCAATTTATTAAATATTGGGCTAAGAATATGTGATTTCTAAACAAGCACAAAGAAATGTTTATGAATTACCTTGAACTAGTTAGACCTTTGAATGAGGTTCAAAATGCATATGTATTACTACAGCAATTAGAGGGTGACTTGATAAGACATGTTTTGGCTTATAAACAGAAGTGATGTTATATTTTGACTGTAATTGAAGTACTTTTTTAATATATGCTAGAAATCTTTAACTTAAACTGGTTTTTGGAATTTCATTTATTCATCTCACATTGTTATTGGTTTTAGAAAATATGAAATAGTTAATGTTTTTCATTAAATTCTAATTGTATAATATTTATTTCATTCCAGGTTGCTATTCAATTGAATGATACCCACCCATCTTTAGCCATACCAGAATTACTAAGGATATTAGTTGATATTGAAGGTTTACCTTGGGACAAAGCGTGGGAAGTCACTGTCAAAGCCTGTGCTTATACTAACCATACAGTCTTACCTGAGGCTCTAGAAAGATGGCCAGTCCACTTGTTAGAGAAACTTTTACCCAGACATTTAGAGATCATTTATTATATTAACCATCTGTTCTTACAGGTAACTAACTAGCTTATGTTTATTATTCTTGCAAAATAGGGATAAATAGATATTCTTGTATCTGTCTTCATCTCCCATATGTAAATGGTCCTGAACTAGTCAGTGAATTGATAGGAGAGCATATACTTTGCCCTTTAAACTTAATACAATTATACAACTTAGTTTTGAAGAGATTTTTGGGTGTTTCATACTAGAGAATTGCTCACAGTACTTCTCGTTTCCATGACGATGAAGGGGGATAACAAAATTAAGGACTGAAGATCTCAGACTTATTTCTTGTGATATGTTTTACTGTATAATTTTTTTTTAAATCCTTGAATTCCTCTATGTTAAGATTTAGCTGTTAATTACTGGTTTAACATGGGGACTAGTGCTTCGGGAATATATCTTAAGTCTTGCTCATGTCATAATCCCCATGTAGGTTTCACTACATGGATACGGGCTTACAATCTAGATAATACATTGGAATATCAGCAAAGGCACTTGCTCATGTTATAAAGTTCAAAAATAGCCAAAAGTAGCAAGCACATCAAGAGTTGGTGAAGTTTTCTTCTGAAAAGAGAGTTGTACAGTAACTTGTGTATTAAGTGAAAAATCATTTGAAAATTTACATATGATGTCTTTTTCAAAACATTATTAAGTCCTAGGAGGCTGCCGTTAAAAGATAAGGAGATTTAGTATGATTGCTTAAGAGACAACTATTCACTTAGAACGAAGAATGAGGATGTATGCTTATTTGGTGATGTTACACTTAGATACATTATTTGACTTGTGAGTTTTAATTCTTTTGATATCTTCTGTCCTCTTTTTTTAATTTATGCAAGATGATTAAATTCTTTAATTATTGGTTTAATTGAAAGCTCTTATCTCCCATGTGACAAATGTCAGTTCCTGTTCATTGTAACAAAAACAACTAAACAAAAGTGCTAGGATAAAAGCTCGTGCTCACTACACTACATATGTTTTCATGCCAAAAAGTATTGACTGAAGAATTTTTTTCAAATGCTTACAGGAAGTTGCCAAGAAATTTCCTGGTGACTATGACAGAATGAAGAGAATGTCCCTTGTTGAAGAAGATGGAGAGAAAAGGGTCAATATGGCTTACATGGCCATTGTTGGTTCACATGCAGTGAATGGTGTAGCAGCCATACATTCTCAAATCATTAAAAATGACACGTAAGTAAGATATACACTCTTTTTAACCATAGGTTGCTAACATGGACAATTGAAATGAAACGTTAATTTCATAGTTGTTTGATAACAACTCACTTATTTATAGGTTGACACATAAGATAAATTGCAGATAAATTGATTTGATGGTTAAATAAAATATAAATGTGAGAATTCATGAATACATTGTTACAAACAGAGAAGTTGGGTATATGTAAATGAGATAGCCAGCTAACCAGAGAAATAACCAAAAGATATAGAGAAGTCAACATATAGTCTGCAATAAATACTCCAAACCTGTTCATAATTTAATTTAGTGTGTAAAAGATGGCTGCCACTGTAGCTTATGATTTAAAGGTATATTTTTCCACGGTGAGCAATTCAGGCCCTTAAGAGCATTTAGATTGAATCCCTGTGTTCTGAAAGTAAAATTTAGTGGTTTAATAGTAATTTTACTTGAAATAAAATAGAAACAATTATTCAGCAACAAATTTATTTGAACATTATATACTGGTTTTTGACATTTTAGGTTTAGGGATTTTGCTGAAATGTTCCCAGATCGATTCCAGAATAAGACCAATGGGATCACTCCTAGAAGATGGTTGTTACTGTGTAACCCAGGATTATCTGATGTAATTGCAGAGGTAAGACATAAAATATTTGGCTAGATTGCATGAAGTGCAAATCCTGTTTATAATATGTCAATGACGCACGGTTTGGCTTGCAGGGAAAAGTGGATACCTGTCTTGAAATCACCTCCACCAACATTTTTCAGTTCAGATCCTTGCAACTTCCCAGAAAGATTGGAAACATATTGGAAGTTGTGCCCCTGCTATTATGGAATTGTTTGTATTTTTACCAGATTTGGGATCTTAGGTTTTTTTTAGCAAACTTTTCAAAAGACATTTCTAATTTTGTGTACTCAACTAATCTTGCAGTTTTCAACTCAGAACTTTGAAACTGATCTTTACATGATATTTCACAAGGTTTGCAGGAAGACAAGTCACCGTACTTGAGCACACTTTCTGACTCCAATCCCACCAGTCTTTGCTCTTACTCATAAATGCCAAATGCTAAGTAGGGAAGCAGCAAATACCTATTTACAGGTTTTTGTTGACCTGGCTGGGATATCAAACCTATGACCTCCCACTTTCAAGGTAAGCTTGCTTATACGAGACCAACTAGGTGGTTGCAACAATGTAGGTTTTTTGACAACACATTCATTAGATAACTTGGAAAAAACATGTCGCCTAAATTTCATATTATATAGTCAAAAGAAGTTTGGACTTTTAAAGAGCTATTGGTGTAATACAAACAGACTTTTATATGATTGTGTTTTTGCATTTCAGAAAATTGGAGAAGAATGGGTGACAAACTTGTTTGCATTGAAAGGACTGAAGAAATTTGCAACAGATGAAACATTCCTTAGAGCTATTATTAAAGTGAAACAGGTGCGTCTTTGTACTTATGTTAATTTTATGTATAAAATCAGATGGACTTTTACACATTTAAATGAAAAATGCATGAACACTTTTCTCAGTGAATTTACACATTAAAGCTGTGAAAGAATAAGAAAAATTGGAAAACAGTTTGTGAAGAGGAATATATTTTTTTTTCATATAACCTGGTCATTCTTTCAGGAAAACAAAATGAAATTGGCTGAATACATAAAGCAGGAGTTCAACATTACAGTAAACACCTCATCCATATTTGATATCCAAGTTAAGAGAATCCATGAGTATAAACGTCAACTGCTGAATTGTTTCCATATGATCGTCCTGTACAACAGACTGAAGAAAAATCCCAGCATGAAATTCACTCCTAGAACAATCATGATTGGAGGGAAAGTGAGTACAATATTTTTATGTTAATCCAAATGCATTTACGTAAAGTCATACTTTTTTGTAGTGATTTGTAAGTATTTTCAATTTGAGTTCAAACCATAACAGGAAACTCACTTGAAATCTGCTGAAAATACGATATATGATATTGTAAAAAATACTGTTCTAATTTTCATGGATTTATATATAATTGCCTATAAGCTTTCCCTGAATGATATCTCCCCCCAAGGGTGACTGGGGAATAGAAGTATGGTCACCATTGGTCTTCCTCCGACCGGCAGTAAAACCCGTGCTAAAGTGGGGCGTCCGTTTGGCTGTGCGGAATGTACAAATTTGCAGCCACGTCTGGTCAGAATGGGGACGTTAAATCCGATGCCTCGTGTAAAGAGAGTGCCACGCTCTTTGTACGTTAAGAACCCTTGCAACAACTCTTTGAGGGGTCCGTAGGTGACCTGTTGCAAGGCTAAATTTCTGTCCCTATTCAATATATCCTCATTTCCCGTGGCAGTCTAAATTTCTCCGACCTTAATCCCTTAATCTATTACAGAACCTACCTATTGTATTTATTGTGAACTTGTTCTCGTCCTGAATATGCATGAAATATTTGCCACTGGACGTTAAGCAACCAACAATCAATCAATCAATCTGAATGATATCTTAATAGTTTTGCTAGGTCAAGCTATGCAAGCTTTTTCGATGGAAATTGTGATGTCCCAATTAACTCTTAAAAGCACAAAAATCATGATGATTTACATTTGTATGTAAAATGACAATGAAGAGGATAAATATAGTGTGGATAGAAAAGTGTGATATATTATTTTTGATTCCTTTATGATACAAAGCACACAGAAAATCCAGGTTAAGGTAATTCTATTAAAAAAATGGGTATTAACATATCACACTTGTAATTCATGTTTTTATACGCCCATCAATTTTTGACGGGACGTATTATGGTATACAAATGTCCGGTGTCTGTCCGTCTGTCTGTCCGGCGTAAACATGTCGCACCGTAAATTGAGAATGACTTATCCAAATTTCATGAAACTTAACATAGTTGTTTCTTATGATGTCACGCCATATCTCAAAAACGATTTATGATAATTGCTTAAAATTTTACACACTTCTTAGTTATATTAATCTAAAGATCTGTATGCTTTTTGGTTTTGATTCAAAATTTTATTTTTGAGATATTGATTTTTTTTTTTTTAAAAGGGGGGTTTTCACATGTCGCGCCATATCTCAAAAACGATTTATGATTATTACTTAAAATTTTACACACTTCTTAGTTATATTAATCTAAAGATCTGTATACATTTTGGTTTTGATTCAAAATTTTATTTTAGAGATATTGAGTTTTTTGTAAAAAAAAAAAGGGGGTTTTCGCATGTCACGCCGTATGTCAGAAACTATTTATGCTTATTGCATAAAAATTCACACACAAGACGACGGGCGTATCATGCGCTCATGGCGCAGCTGTTTATTATATCAATTGTGCTACTGTTTTTTCTTTTCTTTGAAAAGTAGTTAATTTGGAAGGATTTGTGAGATTTATATATATGTCCTGGGTTAATTTGTCATTTATATGAGGTGGAAAATCTATTTCTAGGCAGCACCAGGCTACCACATGGCTAAATTAATTATCAAATTGATCAACAATGTAGGACGTACTGTAAACAATGATCCAATCATTGGCGATCGCCTCAAAATTGTCTACCTTGAAAATTACCGTGTATCCCTAGCTGAAAAGATTATTCCTGCTGCTGACCTCAGTGAACAGATATCTACTGCTGGAACAGAGGCTTCTGGGACAGGAAACATGAAGTTTCAGTTGAATGGTGCCCTGACTATTGGTACTTTAGATGGTGCTAATGTGGAGATGAGGGAGGAGATGGGAGATGAGAATATCTTCATCTTTGGAATGAATGTTGATGAAGTTGAGGAAACCAAAAGACAAGGGTTAGTTTTTTATACAACCTTAAGTCTGCATTTGATAAAAACAATACATTTCACACAGAAATCTTTGTAAAAATTAAATGATAAATGGAAAAACTGCCTTTTGTACAAATAAGATATTGAGATGAAAATGAAACAAGATTTTACTCAAGAGTCATAGACTCACATTAATTTCTCATCATGTGAATAAACTCATCATAGACACCAGACATATTTTCATCCTAAAATAAAATGTTTGAATTAGAATTAGTTTTGTTATACTGAAAACAGCATGTCTTTTGTGCTCTAATTTAACTTCAGTAAAACTTAAATATGATTGTACTGAAATTTTTATCATTTGATTTATTTAAGGAACAATAGTGAATCTTATTTTGTTATTTATTTATAAATTTAGTTACAATGCCAGAGATTATTATGAGAAGAATGGTGAATTGAGACAGTTGCTGGATCAAATCAACAATGGTTATTTCTCTCCCGAGGATCCAAACATGTTCAAAGATATCTACAACAACATCATGTATACTGATAGGTTGGTTAATAATGGCATAATTATTTTGGTGCATACTAACAGCTGTATACTCATTTTGAAAGTTAAAAATCTGTTTCCCATTTCTTACGTTAATAATGACAAATTCATGAATAAAACATGTTTACAATAATACTAAGATAATAAAATTTGCATTTGTTTAAAACCTTTAATTCATACAAATAAAAGAAGATATTGGATATTTGCAACCTTACAGCCTAATGTAGCTTAAACAGATTTTTATTTGTCCGCATGGTCACTGTGGGAGTGTATACAAGGTGGGCAAAACTTCCAGCTTGCCTGCCCTACTCATCATATGAAATGCATATGCTGTTTTGGGGAATTTTTTTTTATCGTGAAATTTACAAGTACAAGCTATCATTATAATTAGATATTCGTTTGTACTCAGTTTTTGTCGAGCCTGGGACTTTTGTCGCAGAAAGCTCGACATAGGGATAGTGATCCGGTGGCGGCGGCGGCATTAGCTAACTTCTTAAAAGCTTTATATTTTAGAAGCTAGAAGACCTGGATGCTACATACTTTGTATATAGATGCCTTATGTTAAGAAGTTTCCAACTGTCATATGTCCATTGTCCTTGACCTCATTTTTATGGTTCAGTGACTATTTGAAAAAAAAGTCAACATTTTTTGTAATGTTAATTTCTTTCTTATTATGAGTAATAGGATAACTATATTTAGTATGTGCGTACCTTGCAAGGTCCTCATGCCCGTCAGACAATTTTCATTTGACCTCGACCTCATTTCATGGATCAGTGAACAAGGTTTAGTTTTCGTGGTCAAGTCAATATATCAGATACTATAAGCAGTAGGTCTACTATATTTGGTATATGGAATGATTGTAAGGTGTGCATGTCCAACTGGTAGGTGTCATCTGACCTTGACCTCATTTTCATGGTTCAGTGGTCAAAGTTAAGTTTTTGAGTTTTGGTCTTTTTTTCTAATACTATATGTAATAGGTCAACTATATTTGGTGTATGGAAATATTTTATGATGAACATGTCAGTCTCGCAGGTTTTATTTGACCTTGACCTCATTTTCACGGTTCATTTCTCAGTGTTAAGTTTTTTGTGTTTTGGTCTGTTTTTCTTCAACTATAAGCAATAAATCAACTATATTTGTTGTATGGAAGGATTGTAAGGTGTATATATCTGTCTGGCAGGTATCATCTGACCTTGACCTCATTTTCATGGTTCATTGGTCAATGTTAAGTTTTCTCATGGTTAAGTTTGTTTCTTAGATACTATAAGCAATAGATCAACTATATTTAATGCATAAATTGATTGTAAGGTGTACATGTCTGTCTGGCATGGTTCATCTGACCTTGACCTCATTTTCATTGTTCAATGTTAAGTTTTCTTGGGGTTAAGACTTTTTCTTAGAAACTATAAGCAATAGGTCAACTATGTTTGGTTTATTGAATGATTGTAAGGTGTATATGTATTTCTTGTTTGGTTTATCTGACCTTGACCTCATTTTCTTGGATCATGTTAAGTTTATGTGTTACTTGTAGTAAAGCTTTATATTTAGGACTATCAACATAAAATCAATGGTTAGTAAAGAAGGTGAGACATTTCAGCGTGTGCACTCTTGTTCAAATAAATGATATAAACTTAAGTAGACATGTTTTGGCTGCCTATCATTGACTGGTGAAAACAGAAAAATCCACAAGAGTATGATTAAAAATAAATGTGTTTGTTGTTTACAGGTTTATGTTATGTAAAGACTTTGAATCCTACATTAGTTGCCAGGATAGAGTTAGTGAAGTGTTCAGGGTATGTACATTGTTTACTTTTTACCTAAAAAAGGACATTTTCTGATACTAAGAATTCAGTTTAAACAGGTTTCGTTTTTAAAGAGTGTTCAGTTGTCACAAGTTTCGCTGTAGAAATTTTTGATTTGCTGAATTTCCATTTCAATTGATTTGCTGATTAAATTTTTTGTTTCTCTGTCTGCCAGCATGAGAGTTCAGGTGTTCGTGTTCATTTCATAGTATTCAAACTTATTGATTGTTGTTAAAATGAAAATAACACTTTATGAATTTTATGTGTACAAAGGGTTTTTCTGGATTTACCTTCATCAGGAATGCTCAAAACCAAATATTTGAAAGCCAAGAATATATTAGAACTGAAAACTGTGAAAAGCTATAGGGCCAAAAGGGACCTAAAAATAATAACGGAATCTATATTAGTATTGCTGTTGTATGGTTAAAGGAGTAGGTTCGGTTAGACCCCCTTTTTGCCCCAAAGTATAGCATTTTTACAAATTTGTTAAAATGTAAACTTTTAGCTATATATTGGAAAGTAAAATACTTTTTCTACATAAATATTGGCTGTTTTTGACAATAAAATGCACATGCATCAGGTACTAGTACATGTATCATTAATTCCAGTAAAATAAGTGAAATCTTCACAATTTTAACATTTTTGCTATTTTTAGACGATTTGGAAGTGACCGCTCTTGTGTTCAGTCTTAATATTTAACTATGTGTTGTACTTAATGATATTACATAACATATATAAAGGTTGAGACTGAACACAAATGTGGCCACTTTCATTTTCGACAAAAACCATCTGAAAAGTGACGTTTTATGGCATATTTGATAGATTTTTAATATTTAAGCTTGAATTTGAGCGTCTTTATTGACCAAATCAGTTCAAATCTTTTACAAAAAACTAATTGAATCGACTGAAGTAGACACTTAAGTGTTTAAAAAATGTCAAAAATCGTCAAAATTTAGGCCAAAATTAGCCCTTACCGGACCTTCTCCATTATTGGAAATTGTCATTGACTTTTGCGTTGATTAACTTTTTATCACATAACTACAGCTTTCACATGCTATTGCCTGTAGATTGTGAGTTTGACAAAGTTATCTATAAGCTTAATTGGACAGATTAATATACAATACTAACAAATATGTTCATTTTCTACTATTGAAATTTGAGAATGAAACCTTACACTAGAGCAGCAAAAAAAAAGTCAACATAAAAAAGCAATTTTAACCATACTAGATATTTCCGTGTAATTTTGTTTTAGCTTACTCTTTTATTTATTTTTATTGAAAACAGAACCCACTGGAATGGGCCAAGATGTGCTTGCTGAACATAGCATCCTCAGGAAAATTCTCAAGTGATCGTACAATTTCTGAATATGCCAAAGACATCTGGGGAGTAGAACCAAATGATATTAAACTGCCAGCTCCACACGAGACACCAGAAGATTTTGGTTTGGATGTTAAAACAGCTAAAAAATAAACAAATCTGTATTGATGACATTCAGATCTGATTATAGACTTCTAATATAGATTATAAATCATTCTAGCGAAAGTGAGATGTTAAGATTTTAAGCAAGGGGATGTCCATTGTCTATTTAATAAGTGCTATTTTTTTTTGCTTGCCAATCAATATCTTGTGGTTTTGTCATTTCAATGATGTTTGAATGGCAAATTTTTTGCATTAGAAATATTCCCCTTTAACAAAATTAAAGATTAATGATTTGATGTTAGCTTTTATTTTGTACTTTTTATTACAAATATTATGACACTGTAAAATTGATATGAATGTCTGATGTGATGCCAGTATGACCATTTGTATTTAATGTCTAATCCCAGTGCTTTCAATAAGGTAAAGCTGGAGTGACATAACGAGTTTGTAGGCAGTAACTCTTTTTACATACCAGATTAGGTTAAGATTGGGTAAAACAGTTAAAATAAAAGTACAGACAAAGATTTTATAGTACCTATTTATTTTTACCTCTGTGAAAACTTGCAATCAAAGTTTTTGTTTCATGGAAATTGGTTTCATATGGTGGTCATTTTTTATGTGACTGGAGGTGCAGGAAGGGAATATACCCTTAGGTCCATTGGAAATACATACCTCAAATGAAAAAATGAAACAGCATTACTTTAAGAAAACATGCTTTATTTTTTAGATTTAGATACAAGTTCTGCTCCAATTGGATTAACATTATCTTAACCCTTTACATTTAAAGGTTGCAGAATTTTGTGCTTATTTGATAAAACTGTTAAAGTATATAATTTAGTTGAACACTATTCCAATAATCTAGATAAACACTTTTCCATTAAAATGAAACTGAAAGGGTAGGAAGTTTCATACTTTTGGACTTGTGTCAGGGTTCATTTATAGTTGTGTATCCATTCGATGATATGCAAATTATCCAAAGAAAGTTTGTTGACTGCGGAAGGTTTTTGAAAGTCCCTTTGTTAAACAGTATCCAACTTGAAAACATACAATTATACATATTTATATAACTTACTAATGAAAAGAATATCAACAGAAGTTCTGATTACATATTTTTGTCGAGCCTGCGACTTTTGTAGCAGAAAGCTCGACATAGGGATAGTGATCCGGCGGCGGCGGCGGTAGCTAACTTCTTAAAAGCTTTATATTTTAGAAGCTAGAAGACCTGGATGCTTCATACTTTGTATATAGATGCTTTATGTTACGAAGTTTCCGTCTGTCATATGTCCATTGTCCTTGACCTCATTTTCATGGTTCAGTGACTACTTGAAAAAAAAGTCAATATTTTTTGTAATGTTAATTTCTTTCTTATTATGAGTAATAGGATAACTATATTTAGTATGTGCGTACCTTGCAAGGTCCTCATGCCCGTCAGACAATTTTCATTTGTCCTCGACCTCATTTCATGGATCAGTGAACAAGGTTAAGTTTTCGTGGTCAAGTCCGTATATCAGATACAATAAGCAGTAGGGCTACTATATTTGGTATATGGAATGATTGTAAGGTGTACATGTCCAACTGGTAGGTGTCATCTGACCTTGACCTCATTTTCATGGTTCAGTGGTCAAAGTTAAGTTTTTGAGTTTTGGTCTTTTTTTCTAATACTATATGCAATAGGTCAACTATATTTAGTATGTGCGTACCTTGCAAGGTCCTCATGCCCGTCAGACAATTTTCATTTGTTTTCGACCTCATTTCATGGATCAGTGAACAAGGTTAAGTTTTCGTGGTCAAGTCCATATATCAGATACTATAAGCAGTAGGGCTACTATATTTGGTATATGGAATGATTGTAAGGTGTACATGTCCAACTGGTAGGTGTCATCTGACCTTGACCTCATTTTCATGGTTCAGTGGTCAAAGTTAAGTTTTTGAGTTTTGGTCTTTTTTTCTAATACTATATGCAATAGGTCAACTATATTTGGTGTTTGGAAATATTTTATGATGTACATGTCAGTCTCGCAGGTTTTATTTGACCTTGACCTCATTTCCACGGTTCATTTCTCAGTGTTTAGTTTTTGTGTTTTGGTCTGTTTTTCTTCAACTATAAGCAATAGATCAACTATATTTGTTGTATGGAAGGATTGTAAGGTGTATATGTCTGTCTGGCAGGTATCATCTGACCTTGACCTCATTTTCATGGTTCATTGGTCAATATTTAGTTTTCTTGGTTAAACTGTTTCTTAGAAACTATAAGCAATAGGTCAACTATGTTTGGTTTATTGAATGATTGTAAGGTGTACATGTATTTCTCGTTTGGTTTATCTGACCTTGACCTCATTTTCTTGGATCATGTTAAGTTTATGTGTTACTTGTAGTAAAGCTTTATATTTAGGACTATCAACATAAAATCAATGGTTTGTAAAGAAGGCGAGACATTTCAGTGTGTGCACTCTTGTTAGTTTAATATGGTATTTTTAGTGTCTGATAGTCTCTAAACTGTGTTTACAGAAAATTAAGGATGTTTTAACAAATAAAGGAGGATACTTGAGATGCAGAACAAATATTTTTGTTTTATAAAGCATTATTCATTTGTGTGAGAATGTCACTTGTTTAAAGTATGCTAAACTAGTTATATATTTATATATATATATATAATTTTTATTTTAATAGTTAGTTTTATGTTGTTTTTAAGCATGACTATCTTTAGAAATCAAGTTCTTATCAAAGTGACTAACTGTCATTTGTACATTTCGTAGATTGACTGTTAAGAAAATATTTGCAAATTTATTTCACCCTTTTTTTTTGTTGATGTTAATTGTTTAGAATGTTGTAATGATTTACATTAATACCCATGTATTTAGTTTTTATTGCATAATTTAATAGTTTATTTTTTACCTCAAAGCCACAAAAACCAATACAGTGTATGACAATCTGATACTTAAAGTTGCTGTTCAGATTTTTATCTTCTAGCTTTTCCAAAAAAGTGGGTTTTTTTCATAAAAAAGATTCTTGTTTAGTGCAAGATGTCATACTTTAAAATCACACCCTACCTTGTTGAAAAAGTACTACCTAAATATATTTCCATTGTATAATTAGATGTACTTTCACAAAATAGTTTTAATTTAAAAAGACTATTAAAGAATGGAAGAATATTGAATTTCAGTCTGAATTTACATAGGACATTGGGGCAACAAGTTTTTTTTTTTATACAGGAAGGAAACTTTCAAACAATATGTTAATATTCATAAAATCTGTCTTTCATTGAAGGTTTCAGGCACTTATTTAACAATGATTTTGTTGGACATTTATAAATCATAAAAGAAAAATTGTTACCTTTGCTCTACATTTGTCAGTAGTTTACAAGTTGAACATTGCATTCATTAATTGTAAACAGTTTCTTTGATTCCAGTACACTAACTCTCTAAGTAAATACAAAGTTAATTTATGAAATTTTATTGAGTAGCAAAAAGGAAAAAAATCTGCACATTAATTTTAAGTCGGATTTCTCACTTAGCTTTAATTTTGCTATTTTTTATATTTATTTTTTTTTATGTTAATTTCCTTGTTAACGAGTTCTCAAATAACATCATTTCATACATATACATTTTGTAAGAACAAATTAACTTTAAATAACATTTTTTGTGATTTAGATTGATTGATTGATTTAAAATTGGTGTTTAACAACACTTTCAGCTCTATTGACTATATTGTGGTTGGAAGAATGTTGAAACGAAACATTGTTGCTGAAAATTTAACTTCTGCAGCATTAGTAGCAGGGTTTTCTGGATTATAACAAAGGAGAAAACCAAACTACCCCTTTGTTTTATGCTATTCAGAAAATAATGGCATGCCTTTCATGTCTGTACTGGTAAAATGATTACACATTATAACAATAATATGGTTTCAAATGAAAGTGTTTTATACAGGTTCTTAACCAGCAAATATTAAAATTGTTGGTATTTATTAAACTGTATTTATAATTGTTTTATTAAAAGTAATAGAATGAAGTAGATTAAAAAAAGATTTATTGATAGATGTGCAATATATAAATTTTGTATGGTCGTTTGTAGTAATTATTAAATCATTTTATACACAAGTATATAATATGGGAAGTGTTTAATAGTATTGAATTTTAGAGTACTTTTACATACCAGAATACCAGTTTGTATGAAATCCTTAGATAAATTTACTATTACTTATTGAAAATGTACCTAAAATGATAGAACCAAAGAATGATTTGAATCAGTTAAAAGAGTTCCGAGGAAACAAAAATATTGATACAAAATATGACAATTCTGATCAATTTTAAATATTTGAATTCTCAGTCTTTTGATTTGTTGGTTAAATTTGTCTTAAAGAAACATTGGAAAGGATCATGGTAAACGGTTACAATTTGTTTCCAATTTTTTGTATATTTAGACAATAAGATATGACTAAACTAAACTAGAGAAAATTGTCATAAGTTTATAAAAGATCATAAATTGTAAATCCTACAAAAACTAAGTAGCAGCTAATGGATAAGGCAGGAAATTGTTCAGTCAATTTTACAAAAGTAGGGGGTCAATCAATTCTTTAGCCAAGACTATGATAGGATTGTATGCTATAAATCCTGGAAAGGATATCCTTTAGCATTAAGCAGGAGTTTGTGCTAAAAGTAAAGCTGGATTCAGTTTTTTTTTTGTGTGAGGAGGGATACATGAGGGATTATTGAGTTATAAATCCTGCAGGCTTGAGTTTTTATTTAGACAGAGAAGATTGAGATCTTGGGCTATAAATCCTACAAAAACCAGCTTTATGCAAGGGTTATAAAAATCAGTTCTTGTGCTGGAAATCCTATAAAGGCCAGCTTTTAGTTAGATAAGACAAGTAGGATGGTGTGCCATGCTATAAATCCTGATTGTGTGATATGACATCATTCCTGTCTGCATTCTCTTTTTACTTTACTGTAGCATGCTTGATGTAAATTTGTATTCATATGTTAGGATTGTTATTTTATTTAATATTCTATTTGTAAATTTGCATAATTGAAACATGCAATTAAAAATAGTGATACTGTTGAGTCCTTTTTTTGTTATTCCATATACAATTTATCACATTATAGTGTGATATTATTGGTATTCCATGCCTATCACATATTCACATGTACACCTTTGACTGTATTTTTTAGTCCCCTACTGATGAAGTCGAAGGGGACTTTAGGTTTGCACTCCGTCCGTCTGTCTGTCTGTCTGTTTTGTCTGTCTGTCTGTCTGTCCATCCATCCATCCGTCAGTCCGGCAAATCAGTTTTCCACACGTTTTTTCTTCATGCTTGAAGATATTGATTTGATATTTGGTGTATTGTTTTATCATGAAAAGTTACAGAACAATTTCGAATTTTGTTCCGGTCTGATGATTTTGTGCAGAGTTATGGTCCTTGGACTTAGAAAATTTACTCAAATAATCAGTTTTCAGCACTTTTTTTTCGTCATGCTTGAAGATATTGATTTGAAAATTGGTATATAGTTTTATCATGAAAAGTTATAGATCAAGTTCGAATTGTGTTCTGGTCTAATGATTTTGTGCAGAGTTATAGTCCTTGGACTTAGAAAATTCACTCAAATAATCAGTTTTCAGCACTTTTTTTTCGTCATGCTTGAAGATATTGATTTGAAAATTGGTATATAGTTTTATCATGACAAGTTATAGATCAAGTTCGAATTGTGTTCTGGTCTAATGATTTTGTGCAGAGTTATAGTCCTTGGACTTAGAAAATTCACTTAAATAATCAGTTTTCCACACTTTTTTTCTTCATGCTTGAAGATATTGATTTGATATTTGGTGTATTGTTTTATCATGAAAAGTTACAAAACAACTTCGAATTTTGTTCCGGTCTGATGATTTTGTGCAGAGTTATGGTCCTTGGACTTAGAAAATTCACTCAAATAATCAGTTTTCAGCACTTTTTTTTCGTCATGCTTGAAGATATTGATTTGAAAATTGGTATATAGTTTTATCATGACAAGTTATAGATCAAGTTCGAATTGTGTTCTGGTCTAATGATTTTGTGCAGAGTTATGGTCCTTCATGCTTGAAGATATTGATTTGATATTTGTTATATAGTTTACACCATGACAAGTTATAGATCAAGTTAGAATTTTGTTCCAATACAATGAATTTTTAACCAGTAGGGGAATATGTACTCACAGAATGCTTGTTACTTTCAACATGTTAAAAAATATTTAGTGGACACAATTCAATTTTCGTTTATCTGGGACTGTTGATTTTTGTCTTCCCTATCATAGCAGAATGCTAGTCATGGGGATTACTTTCTGGCAACAGCGAGGTAGACAACAGCAGTGGTGATGGTTAAACTGTTTGTATAAAGCTTTGTATTTCAGAAGTTAAAAGACCTAGATGCTTCATACCTTGTATATAGATGTCTTATATGTTACGAAGTTACTGCCTTTAATATATCTACCGTTCTTGACCTCATTTTCATGGATCAGCGACTGCTTGAATAAAGTATATAACTTCTTTTTCATGTGAAATACACACTTATAACGAGTAATGGGAAACCAAAATGCAGTATATGTCAGACAGGGTTCACTTGCCCTAGACCGCATTTCAGTGATCAGTGATCAAGGTAAAAGTTTTCCTGGTCAAGTCCGTATCTCAGATACTATAAGCAATTGGTCAACTATATTTTGTTTATTGAATGATTGTAAGGTTTACATGTCTGACTGTTGAGTCTCGTCTGACCTTTACCTCATTTTCATTGTTCATTAATCAATGTTAAGTTTTCATGCTTGTGTTTGTTCCTCAGATACTACAAACAAAAAGGCCTACTATACTGTGTGTATAGAATGATTGCATGTTGTTCATGTTGTTTGGCAAGGTTCATCTGACCTTGACCTTATTTACATGGATCATTGATGTGTTTAGTTTATGTGATACTTTGTAGTATAAGCTTTATATTACATATTTTCAACATAAGTTCAATCATGATAAATAAAGCAGGTGAGACATTACAAAGGGTACACTCCTGTTGTTTTGTACTGTTTTTATTCAACAGTAATTAAAGCTAATGAACAAGAATCATGTCCACTTTACAATTTTTATCATTGAGAATGATTAAATATGGAAAATGGATAGTTTCATCTGAGAAGTCTCACTATTTTCATAAATATACCCATGTACTTTTCATCCAAAACACATCTGTGATCCTATTTTGCCTTCACCATGTTATGAAAATGTAAAGAAGACATAATGTTCCTTCAAGAATATTTTGTAGTCAGTGCCGCTTGAAACTAAATGTTGGAAATAATAAAATATTACCATATAACAAGAAATTGATCTAAACTAACACCAAAAAGGACACAAAAAAAGTTAAGAAACACCAGTGCATTTAGAGGATATTCTTAAAAATTGATTCAATTGGTATGTTCAAAGAAAGATTTCATATTTTGTATGCTGGACTGATTTGTTTGCATTAGCGATGTTTCACTGGATGGTGAATGTATGAAAAAATCAATACAGCATTTTTTAGTTATATATGTCTTTCATCATACATCATTGATTAAGGAAAATATATTTTTTCTTAATCTTTTCATAATATTTACATGTTAAGGTAAGATTTTAAAAGGAGCTCTGTGCTTAGGTGGCTGAAAATGGATTAATTAAATACTCTGCGAGGTACAGTTTGCTTGATACGACCACAGAGGTTGAACCCTGAACAGTTGTGGCAAGTATGGAAACTATTCAAGTATTTTTCAGCTCTGAATTTGGATTGTGTTTAAATATTTGACAGCAAATACATGCTAACAATCTTAAAATAGAATAATGCATGAACAATAATCACTAAAATTAAAATATTTGAATCAGCAAAATTCTTAGTAACATTTAAAAACAAAAGTGCACACGCTAGATAAACATAAACACCTTACAATCATTCCATACACTAAATATAGCTGACCAATTGCTTATAGAAACTGATAAACTGACATAACCACAAAAACCTATCATCGACCAATGAACCTTGAAAATGAGGTCAAGGTCATATGAAACCTACCAGACAGACATGTACACCTTACAATTATTCCATACACCAAATATACTTGACCTATTGCTTATAGTATGTGAGAAATATACCAAAAGAAATGTGTCTAATGAACCATGAAATTGAGGTCAAGGGCAGATGAAACCTGCCAGTCGGATATGCAAACCTTACAATCATTCCACACACCAAATATAGTGGCCCTATTGCTTATAGTATCTGAGAAATCGACCAAACCACAAAAACTAAACATTGTCAAATGAACCATGCAATTGAGGTCAAGGTAAAATTAAACCGGTTGTCGGACATGTACACCTTACAATTATTCCATACACCAAATATAGTTGATCTACTGCTTATAGTATCTGAGATACGGACTTGACCACTTAATTTTAACCTTGATCACTGATCCATGGAATAAGGTTGATGACAGGTGAACCCTACTTGACGGGCATGAAGACCTTGCTAGGAGGAACCCATATACCAAATATAGTTCTCCTCTTACTCATAATAAGTGAGTATTTCACTTTTCTAAACAACTGTAATTTTTTCAAGCAGTCACTGAACCAAGAAAATTAGGTCAAGGAAATTGACATATGAAAAACGGAAACTTCGTATTATAAGGTATCTGCATACAATGTATGAAGCATCCAGGTCTTCTAGCTTTTGAAATATAAAGCTTTATAACAAATAGTTTAAGCCGCCGCCGGAATGTAATACATATGTTTACTATTTCAAGCTTCAATCATGATATATGATAAGGTCGAGAAATTAAACTGAAATATATCACAAGGTTGCAGATTGAAATATGAGTATCAGCAACTAGTCAGATGTCGATTTTTCTCACAGATGTAATTTAAACCACTGTTGTAAATGCATCAGATATTTGTCAAATCTTTTTATCTCTCCACGTGATAGTGTTATCGTGATGGCTATAGGTATATTTTGCGTACACAAATATAAGAGGGGTATTTCTGTTATTCAAAATATGTGAAAAGGGTGGTATATTTGAACGTCTCAGCTGCTCACCCTTACCACAAAAGGATTAAATGGGCCCCTGATCACACCTCTTCCTCCTCCCTCTCCGGATCCTCCCATGCCGACCAACGCCAAATAAGCATGCGTTACATTGTCAAGAGTTACGGAAGTTAGATATTACTTGCATTATTTTGCAAGCTTTGTAAAACGACAGATCAATCATATCTCAAAGTAGTCATTTAATTCCTGCATAGCTCATCTTACTATCTGAATCGTAGAAAAACTGTACACCAAAAATATTGCATTGCGAAACCTTGTGTGTGTGTCATGTCCTTGAACTACCGTCATATATGGAAAGCAATAATTACACGAAGCAAATGTATTCCAAAGTCCACGCCTTCACACAAATTGTAGCAAGATGTAAAATTGAGAAGGAAAAAATCACTTTTATCGAACTACGGTTGTATTAAAAATGCAAAAAAGCGTAAAAATAATCATTTAAGATTACTTACTCCTCTAAAGAGTCAAACCACAATTTCGGCTATGTTTTACCTATTTGTAGATCTTGTATAACTGGTAGTTTTTCCTTAGAAAGTTTTTACATATATAATATAGTTTTCAAGATAATAGGCAAAAATGAAGAAAAAAAATCTAAAACAATCGTCATTTAAAAGCATAAACTCCTAAAAGTCGACCGACAATTTTAGCCATGTATTTAAAAATTATTTTTTATCTTGTATCGGTGATCGTTTTTGCTATTTAAAGTTCTCTCTATTTGTTATAGTTTTCAAGATAATAGAAAAAATGAAGTAAATGAACACTAGGTAGATCTCAACATTCTGAACATTTTTGTAATGTCATATTTTCTCCATCTATAGCGGAATTAAAGCTAATAGACAACACTTGCATTTTATCCCTATGTTACACTTTTGGCCATGTCCCCGCTATGTTCATTGGCAGGCGGGATCTTTGGACAATTTTTTAATACTAGATATCTCAATGATGAATATGACCAAGTTTGGTTCCAATTGACCAAGTAGTTTCAGAGAAGAGGACCGACGATGGAGGCGACGGACGCTAAGTGATGAGAATAGCTCACTTGACCCTTCGGTTCAGTTGAGCTATAATACGATAGCTTTACTGCAATCAAGACAAAAAATTAACAGCAAACAGTAAAACTTCAACACTGTACTTCACACAATCACATGTAGATTTACCGTACAGTTTTTGTACTTATATGAAGGAGAATTCATACAAAAGCTTCTCAAAGACAAAAAGAAAATAAACATCTTGAAAAGTTGTTTAATTTCACTTTCAGATATATTGATGATGTCCTGTCACCCAATAACACACATTTCAGTGAGTGCTTGCATGTCTTATATCCCAGTAAACTTGAGAATAAGGATACTACCGAAAGTATAAGGTCTGTTTTATATACTGCTAATTTCTTTGATATTGACACAGATGGACGACTTCCAACTAGAATCGATGACAAACGTGATGATTTCAGCCTTCCAATTGTCAACTTCCAACTTCTCAGCAGTAGCATACCCTCTGCCATAAAGTGCTCTTTACATAAACACTGCTTTAGCAGAAATATGAGGATCAACTACTGAATTCAACACTATATAAAGTTAGTTTTACGGGCACCATCACGAATTGACTGACCGATGCGCTAAGTCTGAACTCACTAGGGCATGTTAATGCAGTCTTGTATCTTTAGATATCAGAATAGTCGTCCGATCTGTAGTTATACCGATTGTGTCCTATTTCTGATAACACATGGCATGTTGCATGAGTGTTGATTATCGTGGCGGGTGATAAATACATAACAGGAGACGCTTACCCTGTGCATGCATTTGTCCTCGCTGCTTTGGAGTTAAAAGTTATTTCCTCAGTTTTTTGTTTGTTACCTTGATTTGTATCTTCTTCGTCGATTTTTGTGAACATCTGTAAAACAAATGTTGCCTAAAATTAAGCAACAATAATAATTTAACACTGTTATCATTTTTATACCCCCGTCGCTAGGCGAAGGGGGGATTACGTGTTACCCTTCCGTCCGTCCCAAAAGTATTTTCACATATTATAAGCAAGCTTGAGCGGGGGCATTCGTGTCCTCGGACACATTCTTCTTTCATTCATTTTTTCATTTAAGAAAATAAATGCCATATCTGCTACAACTAAAAATAAAATGCTCCGCAGGGCGCAGCTTGATACGACCGCAGAGGTCGAACCCTGAACAGTTGGGGCAAGTATGGACACAACATTCAAGCTTGATACAGCTCTGAATTTGGATTGTGATTAAATATTTGACACAGCATAGGTTTCTGACACAGAATGAATGTGGTCTAAGAACTTAAAAATTTTAAATTGGACATTCACCTATTATGGTCCAATATCCAAAATCTAAATACATGGTTAGATTCAGCATATCAAAGAACCCCAAGAATTCAATTTTTGATGAAATCAAAAAAATTTAATTTTGGACCCTTTTGACCTCAATGTGGACAAAGTTGATAATGGGGCCCACAAATAAAAAATCTAAATACATGGTTAGATTCAGCATATTAAAGAACCCCATATATTCAATTTTTGTTGAAATCAAACAAAGTTTAATTTTGGACCCCGATTTGGACCAACTTGAAAACTGGGCCCATAATCAAAAATCTAAATACATGTTTAGATTCAGCATATCAAAGAACCCTAAGAATTCATTTTTGGTAAAATCAAACTAAGTTTAATTTTGGACCCTTTGGACCTTAATGTAGACCAATTTGAAAACGGAACAAAAAATTAGGAATCTAAATACACGGTTAGATTCGGCATATCAAAGAACCCCAATAATTCAATTTTTGATGAAATCAAACAAAGTTTAATTTTGGACCCTTTGGACCTCAATGTGGACCAATTTAAAAACGGGGCCCAAAATCCAAAAACTTAATACACGGTTAGAATCAGCATATTAAAGAACCCCAAGAATTCAAGAATAAAACCCCATTGAAATTGGTCAAGAAATAAACAATTTATACGAAGTATCTTCTTTTGCACAATACTGTGCAATTAAATATTTCTTGCTATTGCGCAATACTGTACAATTGACAATTTCTTGCTATTGCGCAATATGAGCTATTGGATATTTCTTGCTATTGCACAATACTGTGCAATTGAAGATTTCTTGCTATTGCGCAATACTGTGCAATTGAAGATTTCTTGCTATTGTGCAATACTGTGCAATTGAAAAAGTCTTGCTATTGCACAATACTTATTATATAATAATTTACACATCCTGTTTGGTGTGTATCTCCTACCATATCATTATTATTTGCTTTTAAATATAAAACAGAAATAACCAACTTAGAATGGAAAATTTTAAAAGAAAAAAAAAGGAAAAAAGAAAAAAAAGGAAAAAAAAAAAAATCCCCCCCCCCAAATATTTTTTTAAACCCCCTTATGATTCATCACCCCCAAACTCAATCCCAGCCTTCCCTTTGTGGTATGGTACCTTGCAGTACAATTTCAGAGAGATCCATACACTTGAACACAAGTTATTGTCTGGAAACTAGAAAAATGCTTATTTTTGGCCCCTTTTTGGCCCCTTATTCCTAAACGTTTTGGGCAATTACCCCAAACTCAATTCCAGCTTTCCCTTTGTGATATAAAACCTTGTAGTACAATTTCAGAAAGATCCATACACTTACACACAAGTTATTGTCATGAAACTAGAAAAATGTTTTTTTCCCCCCCTTTTTTGGCCCCTAATTCCTAATATTTTGAGGCAATTACAATTACCCCCAAAATCAATCCCAGCATTCCCTGTGTGATATGGAACCTTGTGGTACAATGTCAGAGAGATCCATACACTAACACACAAGTTATGTCTGGAAGTTACAAAAATACTTATTTTTGGCCCCTTTTTGGCCCCTAATTCCTTAACTGTTGGTACCATAACCCCCAAAATCAATCCCAACCTTCCTTTTGTGGTATTGAACCTTATGGTAAAATTTCATAGAGATCCGTTCACTTAAACTAAAGTTAGAGTGCGAAAACCAATGTGTCTTCGGACGACGCCGGACGACGCCAGACGACGACGACAACGACGACGACGACGACGACGACGCCAACGTCATACCAATATACGACCGCAAAAATTTTTGCGGTCGTATAAAAATAAGTATTTATATACCTATTTGAAGTTATTTCCTTTCAGAACGATAGATCAATATTTGAAGAAGCAACCCGGAAGACACCAAGTTTCAATGAAAAGTGCTTCAAGCATCTGTGTAAGGTCATAATTTACCCCGATTATAATGAAAATTATAATCTAGTAAACATTTTAATTCATTTGATAGGAATCGTGTTTTATTGCCAATCGGGTGTTTTCTGTACAATTGCCCATCTCAAATATTCTTTAAAGGTTTTAGCACAGCACTATGAAAAATGACCAAATGCTGTATATACATTATTATATATTTATTGAATATATTTCACTTTGACTGAGAATTAACCTTTATAAAGTTAACAAGTTTATCTAATGATTTTTCATTCATATCACACGTATAAATTCCCCTAGTTGTTAGGTAAGCAATATCCACTATAGCTCCAATGTGTTTATAATCACTTCCTATCAGTAACTTCTCACTTGGTTGTCTAGGTAAGGCATGGTATTCTTTATGGTGTAAGACAACCACAGCTTGAGTTCGGGATCCTAAAATAAAAAAAAAAGAGATTGGTTACTGTCTCATTGTCGTATACGCCACACCTCTGCCTAGATTATAGACTAAGATAAAATTAAGAAAACCCTACATGAACCGAGCATGATACGACAACAGCATGTTGAAAAAGAGAAGAAATGCAGAACAATATAAAACTAAGGAGATGTGGTATGATTGCAAATGAGAAAACTATACACCAAAGTTCAATTGAAGTGGATGTAAGCAATTATAGGCAACCATACCACCTTCAACAATGAAAAAAACTCATACCGTATAGTCGGCTATAAAAGGCACCGACATGAAAAATATGAAACAATTCAATCGAGAAAACTAACTTTAAATTAGGCCAATTTATAACGAATTAATTTACGAAAAACTAATATGACTGACATGAATCAACGACAACCACTTAAGTCCAATTTATGACTATTTAACTACTGTTGCCTTTATTTGAGACAGGCACATAAAGAATGTGGTAGGGTTAAACATATTTGTGAGCGCTCAACCCCCGCCCCTAAACCTGGGACAGCACAACATAAGAACAAACTATGATAAACAGCTGCGCCATGAGCGCAAGCTACGCTCGTCGCTTTTTCAAAGAATAAAGTTCAATTACTTCTCAATGTCATATCAGAAATTTATAAAAAAAACTAAAGGGAGATTATTTTAATAGATATAAACCAGTCACCAAAGTTTCGTGAAAACTGCTCAAAGCACTTTTGAGTAATTGTCCAAAAACTGGAAAATCACCCCTTTTTATGAATAATATCCCATAACTCGGAAGCGTAAAATCTAAAATTTATAAAAATCGAAAGGGAGCTCTTATCAATAGATATTAACAATGCACCAAAGTTTCTTGCAAATTGGTGAAAGTTTTTTTGGAGCTTTTGTCCGAAAACTAGAAAAAAAACCTTTTTTAACGAATAAAACCCCCATAATTGGAAACGTAAAATCTAAAATTTATAAAAATCGAAACGGAGCTCACGTCAATAGATATAAACAATTCATCAAAGTTTCATGCAAATTGGTTAAATCGTTTTTGAGTTATTGTCCGACATGTTGACGACGGACAACGGTATACCATAATACGTTCCGTAAATGGGCGTATACAAATTAGTTGAAAAGGGCTTAATAGATTTACATGCAACAAAGATGAAAAAATTTGAATTTAAGTCAGTAGGAATATTCAAACGGGCCTTTTTTAAATATAAACCGTTACTGAATGCAAGGACCTCGAGATAAATGCACACTTATGAACCAAAACTCGAGGCGACATATCCTTAAAATTATGAAATAAATAAGAACACATTTTATCGGATAACGGATAATCAGTTTTGTAAAAATATTTTCTTTTACTTTTTTACCTTGAGAGATATAACTTTTAAATGTTATATTCACATTTTGACAACATTTTCATATTGAAATTTCTCAGAGCAGTAAACAGATCGGCGTGTTTGAACACTTGGTTGAGGTAAATATGCAGTTTGTATCATACTAAGGATTATGAGGAACACTATGAAAATTTGTGTTTACAAAGAGCTTTATATTTTGTATGTAAAAATAAAAATAAAAAAAAAAACACTTTATAAAGGTTATGCCTCCGAAGCCCTTTTTTGGATTAACTTTTCATCAGGAACGCTCAAACTGAATATTGTTGATTCATTATTTTTCGTTAGATACCAATTTTCATGGATTTTGTGGGTAAACGTGAATCAAATTTAAATGTTCAACGAAGTATAAATTTTGTATAGACTTGTATGCAGAGTTCGGCTAAACTACGAATTCAAATATCCACGAAAATACAAATTTCCCTCAATCCAAGAAAATAGGTACCCACGAAAAAAGATGTTTTAGGACCGAAACAGTTGAAGAGCTATAACCAAAAGGGATCTAACAATTAAAGCCAAATCTATATAAGGTCAACTTTGCTTGTAGGAGTTGAAAGCTTAGTTTCTTAATAATTTCAAAAGTTATCAACGGAAAAGTTTAGAATAGTTTGTTATAAACCATGCCATTACCGAAGTACCGATAATGAGCTGATGATACACTCGGGGACTGAAAGTCCACCAGCAGCGGTATCCAACTAGTATTGTTAAAAAATGAAAACATCACTTCATAATTTTACGGCTCCGAAGCGCTTTACTAAATTTACTTTCATCAGGAACGCCCAGACCCGAATAATTGAAAGCCAAGAATGTATAAAAACCATAATAGTTGAACAGCTTTACGAACAAAAGAGATCTATGCGACTATCATACAAATGAGAGCTTTAGCTGGCTATAATACCATTTTTAATCCACCATTTCTACAAAAAGAAACGCCTGTTCAAAGTAGGGACGATAAGGGACCTTCCGTTTGAATTTTCCACGGAGTTCGGTATTTTTTTTTTATTTTACTTGTTTTGGTATAGTTTTCTAGATAATAGGCAAGAACAATAACAATTGGTAAAAATCGTCACTCAAGAGCAAGAACTCAAATAATAAGTCGACTAATGATTTCGACCATGAAGACTTATTTGTACATCTTGTCCTGATGATTTTTTTTGCTATTTAAAGTGTCTTTCTATTATAGTTTTCAAGATAATAGGCAAAAAAACACAAAAAAAATGGTACAAAATCACTAAAGAGTAACAACTCTAATAACAAGTCGATTAAGGATTTCGGTCATTAGACTCATTTGTAGATCTTGTCTTCCTTATCATTTTTGACATTTAACGTTTCTATCTATAGACTGTCACAGCGATAGCAAACCGGATTTTTTAACATTTATTTGTGTCCAGGCATTTTGATGACAATGACCATAACTCCTGAACGGTAAAAGTGACAATCATCAATACTGAACTTGACCTCAATTTTGTCATCAGTAACAACATAATAAAATTTGAAAAGCTTTGGTTGAACGGTCTATGAGTAAAAGCACGGACATGACTGGAAACACCATTTTTCAATCTTTCAAGAACCACAACTCTTGAACGGTAAAAGTGAAAATCGTCAATATCAAACTTGACCTCCATTTTGTCATCAGTAACAACATATTCAAATTTTATAAGCTTTGGTTGAACGGTTCATGAGTTAAAGCACGGACACGACTGGAAACTCCATTTTTCAATCTTTCAAGAACCATAACTCCTGAACGGTGAAAGTGAAAATCGTCAATATCAAACTTGACCTCCATTTTGTGATCTGTAACAACATATTTTATTTAAAATTAGAAAAGCTTTGGTTGAACGGTTCATGAGTTAAAGCACCGACACGACTGGAAAGACTATTTTTCAATCTTTCATGAACCATAACTCCTAAACTGTGAAAGTAAAAATCGTCAATATCGAACTTGACCTCCATTTTGTGATCAGTAACAACATATTCAAATTTGAAAAGCTTAAGTTGAACGGTTCATGAGTAAATGCACGTACACTGTATGGCAGCCGCCCGCCCGCCGTACATCCCCAAATTAATAACCGATTTTTCCGGAAATCAGGTTAAAAACGCAAAAAATTGGTTAACAAATTAAAGGGCAATAACTCTTATAACGAGTCACCTGACATTTCGGTCTTGTTGACTTGTAAGGAGATTTTGTTTTATTGGATAATTTTTGCTATCTAAAATTTCTATCAATCTATTATAGATTTCGAGATGATACGCAAACATGAAAAAAGTCGTAAGATTCATCATTTGTGGGCAATAATTCCTGTAAGAAGTCGTCTGACAGTTTTGGCTAAAACGAACAATAGGTAGAGCTCAACATTCTGAACATTTGTGCCCTGTCAGGTTTTCTCTTTTTATAGCGGTTTTTAAAATAAAAGACACAAACTTGCATTTTACTCCTATGTTCTATTTTTATCCATGTTGGCCATGTTGGTTGGCAGGAGGGATCATCGGACACATTACAAAAAACTAGATACCCTTATGATGATTGTGGCCAAGTTTGGTTAAATTTGGCCCAGTTGTTTTAGAGGAGAAGATTTTTGTAAAAGTTCATGGACGATGGACAACGGTTGCGAAGAGATGAAAAAAGTTCACTTGGCCCTCATGTCCAGGTGAGCTTAAAATTTCAGGTAAAAGTGAGTGTTGCATTAATCCTTTGGTCCCTTATAACTTAGAAAGTCCATAATAAAACTACTGCAAATTATATACTTATTTATTCATTTAGCATTATAACCAAAATACACAGAAAACGGATGAAAGACAAAGTCTGTATATTATGTTTTTTTTACTATTTTTAGCTTAGGTATATTACTGTTATATTAAATATTTTTTAGACATGGGTCCAACTAGAATCCAAATAATCAACAGCCTTTGTAATGTTTGTAACAGACAGCAACTATGCACTTATACCATATAATAAGCAACTATGCACCGATACGTTATAATATAATATACAACTGGATTCTCTGACTAAAAACTGTTTAATGTTGTAGATACAAGATGTTAGAATTTTGCATGAGCTGGACTATTGTTTTTTATATATAAATTGTCTGCCAGAGGAAACAAAAAATTGAAATTAATGGATTATTTTTTTTATGATGCATGTGGTGGGTTTCAACATGTGGGATAATGAAACAATAAAGACATAAAACGGGCGCGCATGATAAATCCTCCTCACCTGAACAAGATAAATTGAATATTAGTGTACTTCAGGCGGACGTGGATACAGTCCTTCTATTGATTCGACAATGAGTTTGTTGCAGATAGCTTATCCCAAAACAAAGATGTTTAAAAACTTGTATCAATTTGATGAATAAAAATAAACCCAAAGCTAGAATTAAGAAAGTAAAAAGACAAAGTAAAGTACGAAGTTGAAGAACACTGAGGACCCAAAATTCCGGAAGGTTTTGACAAATACAGCAAAGTTAATCTATTCCTTGAGTAGAAAATCCCTAGTATTGATAATCTTATAAGTGTACACATTTTAATATTTTTTTAGAAAGATGGGACTTGATTTGTTCTCCTTACAGAATCCTTCTCATGGATTATTACCAAATTAGGTAATATGTGTAATAAATGAAGATTTAGCTACTTCTGAAAATCCTTACGACTGCCATTGGAAATGTGCCACATATATTATCTGCGGTTGCTATTTTTTTCAATACTGGTTCATTATGTTTATCAGTTTAAAAAAAGTTGAAGAACCTTATAATTACTGTCAGGTTTGTGAAACAATTGAAAAAAAAGGTTTTTCCTTTCTTATATTGTGCTTTTATCTTTCTTAAAATCATTATCCTGTATGTTGCACGTTTAGTTAGATCAATAGAAAAGTTCCTCATATCATATGTGAATATATACTCAAGTAAGGTTGCAATCCCACATGAGGAATTTGATTTAGCATGCACAAAGTATATAAAAAGAAAATGATCGACAGACCGAATCACGGATAAAAACTGTTTATACCAATGCTTCTCCGTAGCAAGGAGAATAAACTAAATATGGAGTATTGACTGAAGACAAGAGGGACTACATGTTAGTGTGACACGTGTCTACTGCTCACAACAATTTAACAGTTCTTTTGAAATATTACAGAAATATTAAGTTTATCAACAAATTGACAATGATGGGATAAGAAATAAATAAAAGATCGACGATATATCCTGGATAGATTATAATGCCCTTAGTATAAGACTAAGTGCGTTTTTGGGGTCTTAACCTAATATTCAGAATAAAATTTCAATCCTGGTTTCTATGATGAGTTTATTGAATGTTAACAAAAGCAAATGATATTGATCAAATTTTAATATGTCTAAACTAGTTTCGTCTTGATCAACACTTATCAGATGCACTGGAACAAAACGATGGTAAGCAATTAAACAAAAAAGACACAAACAAAAAAACTGTACATAAGAATGTTCAAACAGTAGTTTTGTAACAATTACATGGTAGAAAATTTGGAATAATGAATTTTTATATTGATATCTTTGTTATTCCAATACCACATAATACCACATAATCTGGTAATGTGTTGATACATTGAACAAAAATACATTTTACTCTGTAAGGTTTGACCATCTTACCAGGGAAAAGATCCGTTGAAAATCTACTCACGATTTACTTGGCTTATAGCTTGGATGACATCAGTTCCAAGACGTGATGCATTAATGCATATAACTATTAGTGGATCTCTACTGTCTGGGGGAGGATTCTTGTACTTATCCACTTCTATTATAGTCTGGTTAATTTCAAATTGGGTTCTCAGCATGTCTTCTAATTCATTCATCATCTTTTCACAAAGCTCCCGGTTAACAGCAGCATACATCTGAATATGGACTTCAAAAGACATAAGACAAGCTTAACATAAGGAAAAGTTACCAATCGTAGTCTATTTTATTTTGTGATATCAAATGAACATAAAAAAGAGAGAGTAAAAAAAAAAGAAATCAAAGACAATTACTCTTATGACATGTTCTGATAACATCAAGTATCCAGTTCATATTTTAATAGCGTTCAGAGTATAGAGAAAGGAAAACATTTGTTTAGAACTCTCAATTTTACAGACTTATCTAATTGATTGAGGATGCAAACGTTGTTACTTTGTTAACTATATACTAACGTTTCCAGTGCCTTTATAATTAAATTGTCTTGACAATGTATGACATATTTGCAGTTGGATATAAAGCAAATAACACTCAATCAAATGATCTTTCATTGGCGTAAAAAGACCACTGAAAAAGGGTTACTTTTTTAACGAAATAGAAAAAATGGATAGAAATAATTGTATCGTTATAATTTGTAACCACGAGTTCCTAATAAAGTCTAATAATTTTTATGAACATTTTAAAGACAACTGAATAAAACTACGTTAAGCTCTATTCTGTTTGATTATTCAATAGTAATGGTGGAGTATTGGTTACTTTCAAAACTACTTTCGTACCTGCTAGAGATCAAAATCGGGACCAGAGGCACAGAAAGTCATCGATCTGTAAGCTTATCTAAAAGAGAACTCTGTTAGTTTATGGTTCGGGGAAAGGGGGGATATTTAAATTAAAAAAAAATCTGCTGTACAAATTCCATTTTCATATTCGATATTTCGACATTTTCAGGCAAAACTTGAGTACTAGTTTGAACATCCCAAACACATATAGACATAATTAATAATTAAATGTGTAAATCATTTTTGATTAAGGAATATATCTCCCTCATTTAAAGCCATTTCTTGTTTGAAGGTGGCTATACTTTCTTTATAAAGGTCCTTTTTGGTTCAATCAGTTCTTCAACGTTTGTAGAAGTTTGGATTTTCAAATATGTCGGTCTGGAGCATCACTCAAAATACATTAAATGTCGAAATGCCCATCTTGTTCAGTTAAAAATTGGTACCGTTAATGTAATAAAAACTTTCGTGAAAAGATTTGAAATATCAACCATATTAAATAATTTATCTAAAACCTAATATATCTTTGAGAAAACAACAACTAGATATTCAATATAACAAATTCGTGACAAAACGAACACTTAACTTTAGTTTTTGAATTTTCAAAAACTTAATTTACCTGTAGAGTGTTTCTTGGCAATCCAACTATCAATCTGTTGTTTGAAAGCGTTTTTTTCCTGTTCCAGTGAACTGATATTTTCCTGAAGACTCATTTTTTCTTTAATCAATGTATCTACCTGGTCTCTAAGTTCACTGTTTTCTGTAGTTAAATGTTTTACTTGATCTTCTAAATGTTTATGATGATCAATAATGCAATCTACAGAGGACTCTGGCAGCTTGTTTTCGAGTTCTTGAATTGTTTCTAAATAATCTCTTTCTGTATCATCTTTTTGTCTTTTTAGAATTTCAATGTCCTGTTCAGCGTTCTGTAATTTCTTTTTTGTATCATCTTTTTGTCTTTTTAGAATTTCAATGTCCTGTTCAGCGTTCTGTAATTTCTTTTTTGTATCATCTTCTTGTCTTTTTAGAATTTCAATGGCCTGTTCAGCGTTCTGTAATTTCTTTTTTGTTTCTAATATTTCAGTGTTTTCTTTTTGCTCTTTCGTTTCTTTCAATTTGTTTTTAAGTTTACTAACTTCTACATTAAGATCTTTTATTGTATTACACTTCTTCTCATTTTCCGATTGTAGTCGTTTGTTTGCTTCTTGGAATAACTTATTTATCTTGGTATCCTCACTTGTTGCTGCTGCTAGTTGTGAAAGTAAATTTTTTACAGTCTTCTGTTGAAAATAAACAATTGTTTCACACAATAAACATCTAAACGAATTCTAAGATTCATTAATGATAATGGTTCTATAAATCAACAGAGTATACACCGTGTATCAAGATTGCTTCTAACTCTATATGATATATACCCGACATATATTTTTATTTACATCAAAAGTCATTCTAAAACAAATTCATTCAATTTTAATTTGACAAATTAAATAGTAACTGCAGAAAATAAACATAAAACAAAACTTTATTTCGTGAATGCTATGTTTGGTTCGGTCTCATGAGCGTCTACCCAACGTTCAATTTGAACACATATGGTCCGAAGAGGCAGTGTGAATTATTTCCTTTACTTATCATGAGGTATTTGCACCTAAATTTTTACTTAAGCTACTTAACATGACAACAATAATCTCAGAGAGGTCATGAATAAAATATCATCATGCCTCGGATTTTCTACTTGTCCTGAAGCATAGAAATGGATCAGGAACTGTTAGTTTTATTTATCTCCGGAATACATGCATTTCAGGTTTACGCGACTATAAATATGTTCTAAACATGTTTTTATCTTTATCCTATTTTCTTAACATTATTCATTTTGAATGCAAAAAAAAGAGACGTTGAGGGAATTTCCGATTTGAAATTTCCTTGGAGTTCGGTATTTTTGTTATTTTACTTTTTGATATAACTGAGAAAAATTATGACAGTAACGTGAAGTAAATTACGTTACATTTATTTAAATTTTTAGAACAAAAACATGAGAAAAAGGATCGTGGATTTTCTATAGATTTGTGTGTAACTCTAGCAAGAACCACCAATTCCCATTTATGTCATGCAATAATTATTATTCACAAATATCTACAGGTTTCCCTGCTATATACAAAATTCAAACACTGCATAGTCACTGTAAGATTTTTAAGGTACCTTAATCGCCTTTGAAAAAAAGGCCACATAAGTAGTTTTTTGAGTCTCGAGCACTCGAGACATTCTTTTCGGCTGAGTTCAAAATCTCTATAATGGTATAAACTACAAACCTGGCTTTCTTCTGCTTTTTTATTCAAGTCGCTATTCATGTTTCCAGAATATCCTACATTAAAAAAAAATGAATATACTGTGAAGTGGGAAATATTTGCAAGAGGTTTATTTTCAATATTTCGAGATTCGGATAAAATGGTAAAAACGTGTCCTCTAGAAAATTTGACCTTTAAGAAGATAGGAGACGGGGGGAAAACCACGAACAATAAATATCATCGGGAAGATTTTTGTTCTCTATATTTACAAACAAAGCTTTAAAAATTGCACGCATGCTGCTGTTTCAAATATTTTCTGTTGTTTCAAATAGTTCTCTCTAGCTTAAAATTTAAATCTCAGAACATGCCCCATCAAAGTTTTTACATCGATTTGTATAATAGCAAACTCTGAATCGTAGAATTTAGTGCGTTTCTAAATGCCATGTATGCTAAATGAATTCTTGTAAGAAAAGCTTCTGGTGTGTAACCTAATCTTTAAGTCTGCCAGATCTCGCAAGGGTTGGCCTGGTTTATCATAAGCCTTGCATCTTTAATGAGATTTTACATAAATCCAAACATCAATTTGTGACATTTAAAATTCTGTCAGGTTTTTCGAATCCTACCGCAGGACACAAAATGTAACAAGGGATGGTGCGTCTGGGAAAATATATATATATATTTCATTATTTTCAATATATATATATATATATATTCGCTGCTGAACGTTGAGTGTTATAAAATTTATAAACTTAAAGGTAGGTCAACTTTGGTATTGAGCTTCAAACTTACTAATACTGATGACAAGGCTGCCTAAATAGTAAGATATTGGCAGTAAAGCTGGCAAAGCAGCGAAAGAACTGGGTTCTACATGGTGACAAAGGAATCATTATCACTGAATTTAATAGTACAACAGATACCAAGATTGATGTACACAATACAATTTATTAAACAAATGTGGATAGTGTCCACATGTGGACACAGATGATGCCCCCGCTTGCATATCATATAGTTATAAATGGACATAACTAAAGAACGGTAAAAGTGATGCTACCCAAATTTGAACTTGATCTGAGTTTTGTGGTAATAAGCATTGTGTGTAAGTCTCACAACATTTGGTGTGGACTTCCTGGTTGTGGGTCACAGTCTCTTTGAAAGTTTAGATGTACTCGAAATATTCTACTGGTGCCTAAAGTCTCGGGCCCTATGGTGAATGTGTTCAACTTAAGTGATCCTGATCCCAAGTTATGAGGTCAACGACGGCAATTGACTGAGCTAATGCAAATATCGACGGTTATGAATGTTGACATTCTGTAAAGTGAGAAAATGAATAAACTTCGCGACAGGGTAAGCGTCTGCTGCCAATCATGCACCACCCGCCATGCGAATCCACACTCAGTCAAAATATCAAAATCGGGAATACGACACAATCGGTAAAATTACAGATCAGACGACTATACTTGCATCTATAAATATAAGAGCGCGAAAACGTGTCGGTAGTGAGTTGAGACATCAACACATTGTAGCGGTCAACCAATTCTTAATGGTGGCCGTAAAACATATGACGTGTCGATTTCAGCCTTTCTTCCTTGTAACACTGTTGGAGCAGTTTTTGTGTAAGGAGCACACCACTGTTAACACAGTCCGCATAATATGAGCATGCACGAGCATAACGTATATTAACTAAAATATGTAAAAAACCATGCGATGAGGAAGAGGGCATGTATTTGCTGAATAATGGGAAGTTGACAATTGCAAAATTAAAATCATCACATTTGTCATAAAATTTAGTTTGAAGTCTTCCATCAGTGTCATATTGAGGGAAAAGATCAGGACTTGCAGCAGATCTGTTGCTGTCGGTAATATCATAAATATTAAGTTCACTGGGATATATGAGATATAAGCATGATTCAAATGTAAGTGAATCTCGCGGAGGTGTTGATGATGGTGTGATGAGAGCATACACCAGATCTAAACGGATGGCAGTGGTAGTGGAAGTTAATACCACGGTTTAGTAAATTTTACCATATCTTGACTGGCAAACCTCTGCTGTTCATAATTGCTCATGGTGATTGATCGGGATACCGGTTTTAAGGGCGTGTATAAATAGAATAGATAAAGATAATGAGTTACGGTTCTTGATTCCACCAAAACGAATCAGTTATCAAACTAAGGCAAAGTTCGATGTATGTTTCAGCAATTTTTGTCTATGCCTGAGGTCCAAGATTCCAATTGTTTGATAGGTTTGTAGTTGGATAGTCAGTTGAATTATTATTTTCTAATATGCACGGAAGAATGAATATCATTGATAGCAAATCTAGCGTTGTTTTGGTGGTTCATTATTTGACTTTAATTTCCCTTAGCGAACTCTCCATTTCTGTTGCAACACTTTAGCAGCGCCTCGGTAATATTTTTCAGATTATATGTGTTCACAAACTTGTGCTTTCTATCATGATTGGCTTCATAAAGGGTTGTTTGTACAAGTATGCTATTGATTCAAGGGTTTTTAATGGTAAATCAAAAATATTCGATTCGAAAGATTTCGCACTCAGGATATGCTTGACCGTTTTTGTTTCGCCTGCGACGAATGTCACAAAATGCAAGACAAATGCATTACAATTCGGCGTCGACGACAGCATGAACTACATGTTTACACAGCTATATATACTTCAGGAGGAAGAACAGCTGGATGCTTCACATCTTGTAAACAGATGAGTCATGTTACGAAGTCCCTCTGGTATATTTCGGCTCTCTTTGTTGTATTTTATATTGTTCAAAGATACTAAGCAAAAGGTCAACTATATTAAGTGTATTTAATGATAATAAGGTGAACAAGTCTTTCAGACAGGGTTCATCTAACTTTTTTCATTTGCATGGTTCATTGGATTGGTAATATTATGTTTTTATTGTACGGTATGCCATTCAAATACTTTTGGTTAGGTATATTTGGTTTATGGAATGAATGCAAGTTGCAGATTTCTGTCTGGCAGAGTTCATCTGCCCTTTCTCTCATTTTCCTGTTTCATTTTCAAGTTTCTTGGTTAGTTCTGTTTTTCTCATAGTATGAGCAACAGATTAAATATATTTGGTGTATGCAATGATTGTAAGGCGTACATGTCCGTCTACATAGGTAGGTCTGACCTTCACCTCATTTACATAGATTATTGACAATGTTAATTTTATGTAATACAGGTTGGGTACCTTTTCTCTAAGACTTTCAACACAAAATCATTCATGATAATCATAGCAGGCGAGATAATTCAATGTGATTTAATTTTGATTTTTGGTGATTTAACGCCACTTTTAAGCACCGCTTTTGGGCTATTTCGTGGCGGCCAGTTTTTATTGGTGGAGGAAGCAGGAGTGCCTGGAGAAAACCACCGACCTTCGATAGGAAAACTGACAATCCTAGTCAATTAAGATTGGAGTCGAGTAAACCCGCACGAGCGGGGTTCGAACTCACAACCTCAGTGTTGACTGGCTAGTGATTACAGTAGTAACTACTTAGACCACTCGGCCACCGAGGCCCCCTAATTCAATGTGAAAACACTTGTTTATTATTTTGGTCATACTATTCCTGTTTGTAGTCTCGTTCTTCTTTTCTTAAACTTTTTGTTATTGAATAAACATATTTGTTGAGTTTGGTGGATTGATATTTAAGCAGACAGGCGGCATTTCAATTGGAACTTATTGTGTTCCCAACATACCGACTTCTTTTTGTATTTATGTGAAGCAGAAGGTATACAGAGGCTGTTCTAAGAAAAAAAAAGCATCTTGCAAAGTTAGCTTTCATTTTTGTTGATGATTTTTACGTGAGTGCTTGCATCTCATATTTTCCAGTAAAACCCTGAGATTAAGGATGCTACCGACACTAGAGGGTCTGCTTACAATCTTGATTCATTAATATTCACACAGATGGAGGAATCCAAACTTAAATCTATATCAACGGTGATGATTTCAACTATCCCATTGTCAACTTCCAATTTTTTAAGCAGTTACATACCTTTCGTTCCATTGTACGGCGGTAACATGATATCTCAATCAAAACGTTACGCTCATGAATCGTTACACTATACGAACTCTATTCTGTTCCTGACAATAAAACTGCTAAATCCGAATTATGAAGAACGACTAAAATCAACATTATATCACAATGTGTCTGTCTCAACTCGCTAGTAATATATTTTCGCGGTTTTAAGATCTTTAGATACCAGGATAGCCGTCCAATCTATTGAAGTTTGTACGATTTTCTTAATTCTTGTTATGCCTTGATTTGTATCTTATTAAAGCATTTAAAGAATTCATGAGATTTTGTTGTCCCTAATTTACACCTGAAATTTGCAAATAACGTCTGCCACTAGTAGAGCAGGAACAGCTTCTCCTTTCCCTTCGGAGGTGCCGTAGTTCCTCCAGATTTTTCGGTTTAGTTTTCGTATTTCAATCTTACGTTTCTGTATAATATTTTGCCAACTAATGAATCTTTCTACATGTATGTTAACATCCTCGATTAAGGTTCATCATACGTTATTGACAAATGTGGACGTATTTTCAATACAAAATTTACTCTGAGTGAGCACTGAAAAACATGTGCACATACGAAATGGCTGGATCTACATAAATACAATTAAAATGCGTTTAATGGCTAATGCTTAATTCACTGCCATATTGGTTAATGGTGAACCATAAAGCATTCGTAGTGATTTCTCTGCAGCATGAGGAGTAGACCTCCGATAAGTTACATATTAAAATTAAAAAAAAAAAAAAAAACACAAAGCATTTATCTTCTGAATCCTCTGTTTCACCAAATGCTTACTTTCTTGGAAAGAAGGTTGCCTAATAAGTGAATATCCGAATCAAGTAGCACTTCTCAATGAATAATTTGCTGCTTAATTAACTGATCCATTGTTCCAAAGACGTATTACGCTTTGCTACAGATGGCAGATATATAAAATTTGTATCTTGTAATTTAATTTAATTAAATTTTGTATCTTAAGATTTTATTAAAATTAAATCTTGAAAAAGTCAGGGTTTGGTGTACGTAGCAAATATTTTCGAGAGTATTGAATCATTTATACGACAAATAAACTTATTTTAGTATTATGTGAGTAAAAGGGCTAAACAGGTGAGCCATGAAATCATATTTCGCTTTTCCAAACCTTTTGCTACTGCGTAAAACACAGTAGTGCAGTATCAATTATGCCGATCTGAAAAATACACAACTTCTAATTTGTCGTTGAAACGCAAATATAATGAATGGATAGCCAATTCAACTGATGAAAAATAGCTGAGACTTCTTTTTTAGAATAAGGGTTTCAGATAAGAAGTTTTATTCCTCCACATTTTCGCTACGTAATTCATTGTTAAAGGTATTACACCACAGGCACTAGACGTTCTATCAATATAGTTATAAAATATTGGCAATGGGAAGAAAATAGTGTCCATGTATAAAAAAAGAGCAATTGCTTGGTTTTCTGTGAAAATTTATAGCAACTCATTATTAACTATCAATATATTAATATCAACTAACCTTTGTTATGTTACTTCTTCATTGATATTTTCTGAAAATGAAACCGGAAGTAGAATTGTTCTTTCGTTTTCGATAATCATTTACCTATAATCACGTGTACATAGTAAGTATCATTTTTTTAAATTTATTGTCTACTGTAACATCTAGAACTTAACTCTGAACAATCTTAATTTGAGAAAATTAAACTCGACAATGGTTTTGTTCTTACAACTTAAGATTATTATAGTTAAAGTAAGACACCCCTTTTCTCTTTTCTTAGATTTAGGTCATTTCGCCATTGTGATCCATTGTGCAGTACACACGTTGATATGTATAATACTATTGAATAAAAACTTGTCTACAGGTTGATGTTTGTCATACATATGGTAAGCCCGTATCGTCTACATCAGCATCCCTACTATCAAAAAAGGATAGAAGGGGGAAATTGTTTTTATAATAAAAGCACTTAAACTAAATTTAATTTACTGGCTATACAATACAAGAGAGTATGGATGGTCTTTCATTTCTGTATTTTTTTATGTTTTTCGCAGCCGCTTATTAATGGCTATTCTGTAATTACTTGTCAAGTTGATCACTGTATTCTGGACATTGTTCTTTTCCGTAATCAGTATATTTTTACCCAATTCTTTAATTTTTGCAGTTATTCTTTATATTTTAGCACTCCATTATTCTCTATTCTTTTTCTTTTTTTTACCATTTTTCTCTATTCTTTATTTTTATGTCCATTCTTCCCCATTCTGTAAACCCCATTCACACCCTCTTACATAGCTCAATTTAAATCTCTGAATTTAACTTCACTTATATAAACATTGACCCGGGAATGCATTCACTGAAGCATTATTTGTTTACTTAGCATATTGATTTTTTTTCCAGTCTTGAAAAACGTGATTTTGTTTATTGGAATATTGTATCTATTAATTTGTAAGTTCAAGACTTTTAACCAGGTACAATTATGAAAATTACAAGACATGGATCACTGAATATATACTTTTGAAATGTTGGAGGTTTAATATCTTAAAAATGTAGACCAAACACAAGGTCCCTATTTTTAAAAAGAAATAGAAAAAATGACATATTCTTCTTGCAGAGACACATATTGGTCCAGAGGTTAATATACGACACACCGTGACAAGAGTCCATTAAGCACAGCCTAGGTTGCTTGGGGTATGGATCCCTTTTTAATATGAATATATATATATATACATACCATTCTGCATTGACAATAATATCTTGGTGTTAATTAGATAAACCCATTCGGGCTAACGCCCTCAAGGTGTATCTAATACATACAGTATAAAACAATTTCAGTCATATATATATATATATATATATATATATATATATATATATATATATATATATATAGATTAACAGAAAATTTCTTGCTCTTATCCATACTATTTTACAATAACAGTATTTTACAAGTGATGCTCACTCTTATTTTCCACTAGACTTATAAAATACCGTAAAAGAGAAAAAAACATCAAAGAAAATTTACTGTAAATGTATATTTTAAAAAATGAAAAAGGGGTGTGCATGCCCAAGCTTTTGTATTACCGTATATGAATTAGGTGAACAGAACCATACTTACACCAAGATGTTGTTAAATGAAATTGGATACCCTGCATTTATCATGCTTTTCAATAAACATATAATCAAATCGCTGAAAGACCCCCTTCTGAATTATTGAAAACTATCATTCTGCATTGACAATAATATCTTGGTGTTAGTTAGATACGCCCATTCGGGCTAACGCCCTCAAGGTGTAACTTATACATACAGTATAAAACAATTGCAGTATAGTAAATCATGCAGTAACAAAATAAAAAAAAATATATAGAATTAAAAAATCAGGAACCACTACACCAGAAAATGGGTGGAGACGTGCAACTTGTGTTTAAAAAATCCATCCTCCATTTACATATTAATATTTTATGAAAATCCTGACCCCTCATAGCAAAATCATAACCCATTCATAAATTTCTCTGCTAATACACATACAATCTGTGGCATCTTTATTAGATTTCGAATGATGATTTTACGTTTGTCAATGAACGTTTAAGCAGATAAAGATTTTAACAACATGCGTTCAGAATATTAGATACAGATATAATCAGAAGTAGAAAATGTATTACCCACTGATATATTATATATGTCATATATAGGTACATTTGATATGTTCAATATATATCAGCTACAAACCACGTTCTACATACATGTATTTGTATACATCGTTATTAAACTCTGCTTATGTATTTTTAGTTGTTTGTATTTTTCATGTTGTATCTATAACTGTAGAAAACACCATGGGGAGATTAACATATTATTGGCCGATGATTTTTATCTGCGTTAAAGGGGCATTAGCTACGAGATATAAAAAAAATAAGATATGGTTTTTTTGGTTCAATCATTACTGAAAGTGAAATAGGGTATATAATTATTCGCTTTTAGCAGCCAATTTTGGTTCAATTTTGTCAAAATGAGCTAAGAAAAATCGCTGATGAATTATTCACTTGCAAGTGAATAATTCGACCTCATTGAATCCGTATTCATGTGACCTTCAATTTAACTCCTTAGCTTGAGATAAGTTACGAATGAATTAGGCGTGTTCAGTTATTAAATTGAAAAAAATGTCAACATTGAAAGTGAAACAAAGGTAAACCATTTGATTGACTGATTCGATCCACAAAAACTCATTCTTATTCTTATACAGATAAAACCGATGATTAACATATATTTTTAACCTATAATATAAAATCAAACAGACCTAGAAAAATCCAAAATGCACGAGTTCGCTATCTATTTATATCTATATTTATATCGAGTTATATGACCGTTGGCAGTCTTCGGAGGTTATCTCGATTGTTAATTAGATAGCGTCTAGACTAAAATACACACACAATGCTGATACATATTATCGAGCCCATGCATTGCAAATTGTTCATTTTATACTTTTTATAATTTGGGTATACGATTCAGTATGTTATAAATCAAATACGAGAATTTGAGTCAAATCGGTGAACATAAACTAATGCCCCTTTATATATCATTGTTATTAATAATAAAGTGACCTATTACAGCGTCACGTCCTTGTATACAATCATAAAGGAACAACCCCCACTCTCCGAGTCGTGCATGCTGACATTCAATAGGTCATATACTAAACCAAGTATCTAGTAAATCAGGCTGCTACGGGTATGTTTATCGATCCTGACTATCCAAGAGATGCTCTAATGTGCAAAAATTAGACTATACCTTCTTTTTGTCTGCGTGTCTCTGCAAAGGGTGTCATGAACACAAAACTTTAATGATATGTTGTATGTAACAATTGTTTTCCAATTTTTGGTTTGATTATGTTTTGCTAGTGCCAAATAATTTCGCATATTCAGATGAAATTCATGTTTGGTATATATGTACATGTATATTAACGTCAATTTAGAAATTAAAAAAAAGTAATAGTCAACTAGGTGCTGTTAGCAAAAAAGATAGAATTTCAGTTTGAAATGGTGTACCAACTTTAAGATACGGAAAATTTTAGTTTGAAAATTTTATTTATGAAATTATTTAAACAATTGATCTGCAAAGAACATATAAAATTATTGTAATGCAAAAACATTTTTATAAAATACATTTAATCTTGAAGATCATATCGCCATTTACTGTATATGATATGAATAAGGGAAATGTGAGTTGTAAGTAAATCAAACAGAAATAACCACACGACATGTGGACGGCAACATAAAGTCTTCAACAATCGATGTATGTTTTGTCATGTTGCTTTTGATAAGTATCACAAGCTTTTTTACAGTAATTAATATCATTTAAGAATTAAATGCTTCATTTTATGATTCTATTTGGGTGTTAAAGCGTTGACCGAAGCACATTTTTATGAAGCACTCGGGTCACCTTGCAATATGTATCAACCCCTCTGCATCAGACAAAAGGATGACTTAACCAGCATGTGCGTCTATATATCCAATGCATTGCCAATTTATTTAAGGAACTTCTTCATGTCGGGGTGTACCTGAGAAGGAGGTACAACACTGTTGAACATATATATATTCAGACATTTTATATATATATATATATAAGTCTGAAAGTTACACCCAACAGTGTTAGAATTAGACTTTTATGCTGACAAATTTTTGTCCCTCAACGGGATTCGAACTCACACCTTTGATACACTACAGCACCAATCGCTTAGCCTCATGTCCAGCGCTCTAGACCACACGACCACATCCGCTATATAAAGAATATAATTTCAATAGTCGTAGTGTTACCTTGTCACGTAAGGCGAATCTAGAGACAGAAACAAGACATGTGTTTTAAGCGTGTGAAGATGTTATATTATTATTTAATACACAATGTATTTGTTATTTGTCAGCAATCTAACTCAACAATTTTTATATACCGTATGGGATAATGATTCAATTCATTATACAGTCACTAGAAATAAGTATATCATACAAACAAGTCTAAGCAAGTGACAACCATACAATATATATGCCCACTGGATCTCAGTGTGTTTGATACACAGGGTTAATACAAATATTTATATAAGTCTGAAAATTACACCCAACAGTGTTAGAATTAGACTTTTATGCTGACAAATTTTTGTCCCTCAACGGGATTCGAACTCACACCTTTGATACACTACAGCACCAATCGCTTAGCCTCATGTCCAGCGCTCTAGACATAACTACTCTAAATATCAGCATAACAATGTTAAATCTGCAAATTTGCGGAAGCAAATTTTTGTTCTTCCCTCGTCGGGATTTGAACTCATGCTATTGGGATATCGAGACAACACCACCTAGACTGAACATATATATATATATATATTTTTTTATACAACGCAATCATAGGTTTGAACGTTGTTTTCAATTTAGACTTGTGTATATATATATATATATATATATACAAGTCTAAATTGAAAACAACGTTCAAACCTATGACTGCGTTGGATAAAAACCGCAATTTTTATACGTGTGCATGCAAAACAAATTTCTTGGTAGAGTGGTCTAAATACAGCACAAACAACATTTTCCAAAAGACCAAAAAAGTGAAAAAGTATATTTTAACAAAACGTATTTGACTAGCAGGTCGAACAACGGATGTTCTTAAACCCTGCTGACTGCCATGGCGATTGCCAAATAAACAGATCACCAGATGTAAAAATGGATCTTAATTTATTAATAATATACCAAACAGAAAACAATAAACTTGCGGAAAAGATGGTATACCGCAAACATAAGGTGCAAAAATTTGTACACCATATCCGGATTTCGACAATAAATGTCTCTTCAGTGATGTTAGGAATCGAAACGGTATTTGGAAGGCCATATAATTTACCTCAATTTGCGATTGACTCTTGAATTTTGAAGAGTCAAAATAGGATGAACGGATCATATAAACCCGAAGGCAAATATAATACAAGCCCAAACAAAAAAATATAATATATATATAAACAAGTCTAAATTGAAAACAACGTTCAAACCTATGATTGCGTTGGATAAAAACCGCAATTTTTATACGTGTGCATGCAAAACAAATTTCTTGGTAGAGTGGTCTAAATACAGCACAAACAACATTTTCCAAAAGACCAAAAAAGTGAAAAAGTATATTTTAACAAAACGCATTTGACTAGCAGGTCGAACAACGGATGTTCTTAAACCCTGCTGACTGCCATGGCGATTGCCAAATAAACAGATCACCAGATGTAAAAATGGATCTTAATTTATTAATAATATACCAAACAGAAAACAATAAACTTGCGGAAAAGATGGTATACCGCAAACATAAGGTGCAAAAATTTGTACACCATATCCGGATTTCGACAATAAATGTCTCTTCAGTGATGTTAGGAATCGAAACGGTATTTGGAAGGCCATATAATTTACCTCAATTTGGGATTGACTCTTGAATTTTGAAGAGTCAAAATAGGATGAACGGATCATATAAACCCGAAGGCAAATATAATACAAGCCCAAACAAAAAAATATAATATATATATAAACAAGTCTAAATTGAAAACAACGTTCAAACCTATGATTGCGTTGGATAAAAACCGCAATTTTTATACGTGTGCATGCAAAACAAATTTCTCGGTAGAGTGGTCTAAATACAACACAAACAACATTTTCCAAAAGACCAAAAAAGTGAAA